AGGTATCCGGCCTCTCCTTTGGGGATGGGAAATGGGATAGGGGAGATAGAGGGATAGTGGTTGGAGTGAAGGGGTTGACTGACAGTACGGTGGATGGAGGCAACGTTTGTGGTTGCACTCGCCCAATCCGGTAAGGTGCGGATTGCTGCTAAGCGAATTCGGCAATGAGCACCATGATTGGTCGAGAGTAGCTAGGGCTTAGGGTAAACGGCCAGCGGATGACGCCCTGATGATGCTCAGTGATCACCTGCAAGAAGAGCTTCAAGGTTCTAGGTAAGGTAGGTTCCCAGCAGCATACGAGCTGCAGTCGATGACCGTTGCTGAGCCCATTGTTCGCTGCCAATCTGTCATCATTATTGCTGACAGGGTGAGGCATATTCATCTACTCGGGGTGGTGGGAGGCTGGGAGCTGCTTTGCAGGCTGGTTTCCTCCAAGTAAGCGAAAAGAGCTCCTCCCGCCAACGGAGCACTGTACTGTGTAGATAGAACCCTCTCTAGTCTATCTATAGCAATGATTGAACCCCCTCTGCTCCCCAGATATTTCATCATTGGATACAATGTCCCCAGTCTCTCGACTAGTGATCCTGCACAGAACGAATTGAAACCGTCCACTATTCCGCTTCTGTATGCTCGTGCTCAATTTGCTCTGCCATTGGATATTGCTTGCTGGGCAATGCTGTCATTGTCCGGCGCGGGTAAATCACGTGACATTCCACCCATGTGACCCCGAGCTCATCTACAATTCATGACGCACTCCGGGCGCTGGAAATGACTCGCTATAAAGCAAATCTCACTTGGAACCGTTTTCAAATATGTTCAGAAGAGCTGGGAGATGGCCCCGATGCAACTGCTCGGTGAGCCGGTCATGCATATATAACGAGCTAAATATAGACCAAGAATAGACATGCCTCACATGATCCACTTTCTTTCGACGCTGCTTTTCTTTGAGAAGAGAAAAATCACACAGAATACCGACCGCGACATCAAAACGTCAGAAACAGCAGTGAAACATCAAATCATATGGTATCAACCGCAAAACGCCAGGCAATGCTCCGAAGTTTCAACTTTTGTCTTCCAGTCATAAAGGTGCTCGGGGGCACAGCCAGGGAAAGAAGCCTGACTCCGTCCTCACGAACATCACCCGGAGAAGTCGCACACATGCAACGCATGGAAAGAAGCAAACATAGGAAACAGGAACTCAGTGACGCGTATTATTTTGTTCGTAGCTAAAGGGGGTTTGGAAGTGCATGCTGGCACTGAGCCCGAACGGATCGGCATCCAGCATGGGCTCATAGTTGCCCAAGATATGATTGGAGGAGGTGGTCGGGGCGTTGTTGGTGCCATACGCGCCGTTGGTCCCTTCAGCAGCATGCGGGTGGTATTGATTGAGACCATGCTGTCCCATCGGATGGGCGCCCGGGGCCACGGACCCCGGGTTGTTGTAGCCGGACACATAGGACGAGGCCCCGACAGCCGACTCATGCTCGTCATCGATCATGTCTGCCTGGGCATCATATTCTTGTTCTATGGGCGGTTAGTGCCAAGTTGACAAACTCATAAGCAAATATATATCTTACCTAATTGATCGTAGTGCTTCTGGAAAGGAGATGGATAGTAGGCCGAAGGAACACGAGAAGCACGAGGGCCCGCAGCACTGGGGAGAGCAGACTTTGGCTCCGCCGTATCTGGCTGACCGATACTCATTGGAGGGGTCGTCTGGCTGAGGTTCCGCGAGTGGGCAATCATGTGCGAACGTTGACTGTGCGGATCCACCCCAGCCGGAGACATCGCACCTTGGAAGGGGAAGGCGGGCGACTTGGCATGGGATGGGGAGGAGGCATGCGAAGGAGGCGTGGCCTGATACTGGGGCGAGGGAATGCCGTATGCGCCATCGCGATGCTGAGACATGCCAAAAGGTTCCTTGGGGGCGATGCCTTGGGGATGCCTTTGAGCGGAATTGCGATTGACAGCAGCGCGCTCCAGGGCGGAGGGCGGCTTGGTTGTCATCAGGTTGGGCTTCGCCGGAGCCGTACCAGGGGCCCCAGCCTTGAGCCGCAGTTCAGCTTGGACATCAATGCCTATGAGGGGTCAGCATGGCTGAGACAAGGATAACTTTATCGGGAGATTGGATGCATAGATAAGGACACCGACCCTTTTCGAGAAGGATACGTTCCAGTAAGGAGTTCTTATATCGCAACATCAAGCACTCATCGGCTGCGGTGCGATGGTTCTGTTGCAGCGTCTGAAGAGACTCCTCATTGCGCTTGATAGTTGATTCAAGCTGACGAATGTATTCTGTGCGACGCTCCCGGAATGCAGCCTGGGCCTGGCGGTTGCGTTGCTTTCGCTCTTCCGAGGTGGCGTAGATCTGATAAGGGTCGGGGGTCAGTCTAGTGAAGCTAAAATGCAGCAAGATAAGAAAGAAGGAATCAGGAACGAACAAGGGGGGTAAGAATGAGATAAAGCAGGTGGAAGGGGAGAGTAGGTGCATTGAAAGATAAAGCAGGAGGGCGAGGGAGGGATCTGACAGGACGATAAGGGACAGAAGGGAAAGGTGATGATAATGATAAATGATAATCGTGCGGGGCCCCGGACTGGCACGCAGGGTCACCTCCCGCCCAAACCCAACCCAGAGAGATAAGAGATGAACCAGAGGGGGGGAACTCGAAAATTATAAGAAGGGAGCAAAGGGACTTCGTCTCTCAGAAGATCAGATCAGTTTTCTTACGTACAGGCTTTCTCCCACCCTTTCGCTTTTGTGTCTGGGCCACATCCTGGGTTAAGATCTCGCCATCCGCCTCAGGCGTGGACACTGCCGAACTGATTGAACCCTCAGGCATCGGCTCTGACTTGGGAATGACCGGATCCGTGGCCGGTTCATTTTGAAGAGGATGACTGGTGGTCTCGACCATAGAGACCATTGGGATTCTAAAGGGAAAAGGGGGGGAAGGACTTCTGATGTCTTGTCCCCCTCTTCCGTGAAATGATTCTTTGCCTGGATGGAAATTGCCTTGAGGGTTTGGGGGGAGGGGAAAGGAAATGGGAAGATTTCCTTGGATAGCGATGATGTGCCCCCCTTGCGTTCTTGCGTGAGTTGGTGGTGGGGATTTGATGGTGGTATTGGATGAGTCACCCAACAGAATCCGGGGTTTGGCTGATATAACCTAAAAAGCCAAAGGAGGGGAAAAGAGGAGAAAAAAAAGAGGGGAAACTTTTAGATAATGAAAAAAAGAGTCCCCCCGGAAAGAGAACAGGGCAGATGACAGATCGAAGATCAGATACGTCTCAGGGACGAACCAACAAACTTTGGCCTGCTTCACACTTCACGGAGACACGATGTTCGCCAAAGCTGGGGTAAACGCGGTGAGAGGCGTTTTAAGATTAGATGAAATAATGGGAATGTCTCAATGAGGTAAAACACGTCAGTGTTTAAACCACTTGATAGGGAAGAAGATTGATCCCGGCGGGGAAGGGCTGGGCTGCTGCTGCGAGATAGTAGTTCAGACGCAGCAAACGCGCGGATGAGCGGCAATTGGGGGGGAGGAAGGGGGGGGGGAACGTGCGAACTCAGGCTGAGGGTCGCAGGGAGTCCGGCGGAGCAAGTGACATAAAAGAAATTGGGAACAGTGGTGAGAGATAATAGCCAGCGAGCATCGGCAGGCAGAAAGACGTGGTGGGAGGAAGGAGAAAGTGGGAAAGGGCGAGAGGGTGGGAAGATGTGAGGTAAAATTATTTACTAACAAGAACGGGGTAGACCTTAAGAGGGCAAAGCATAAGAGCGAGACTAGTAAGTAGTCAGGGAAAATTTGGAGCAGAAGGAAGGGAACAGAAGGCGTGGAAGGATTAGTATTGGAAGGAAGAAAAGGAAAATGTGAAAAGAGAAAATAGAAAAAAAAAAACTCTCTCATCATCTCATCTGATCATCATCATCATTATTATTTTTACTTCTACTCATTCCTTCCCCTCTCTTTCCTCTTTACTTCCATCTCCTGACTCTATAAACTGCGTTCCTTCTTTCCACTGTAAAAATTTTCACTTTCTCTTGACACTCGCCTCGTCAAAATTCCCTTTGGGGGAATCCAGACTAATCAGTGCGACTGGCCTTTCCAGGGGAAGGAGGGCGACGAGAAAAAAAAGTGAAAAAAAAAACCAGGAACAGACGATCCAATCAATTCTGACCCCCCTCTCAATCCCACTCGGAGGGGTTTGCGCTGAGAGACAATATCGACTGGGTTGGTGGTTTCGCCGCTTCCACAAAATCTGGTCGGGGCTTGTCTGACGGCCACCAAGTGGATAGGAATGGGCTTCCGTTCTACTACTGGGGACTTTGTTTCAAAGCGTTCTCATAAATGATAGGTAACCTCCTTTGTAATGGAGAACTATACCTACGAACTACCACTACGACATGCTCAATCCACGCAGGAGAGGGGAAACTTCTTCCCTTGTTGCTGCGCTCTGCTCACTTCTACCTACTGACTAGCTAAGGTGATCTCGGAATAACTGGCAGCATGTTCGCTCCTTCACCCTCAGTGGCTGGCAGCGGCACCATTTCCCAAGAGAGGGAGGAAGTATCCACCGCGCGAGGTTCTGACCCAGCCGAAGATCCGCCCAAGGTACGGACGGAGTACGCCAGGCGGCCAGACATTCAAGCGAGCACACCCAGAAAGGACAGAGAGGCAGCAGACAAGAGCCAGCAACCTGCGCAGCAGCGAAGTCCAGATCGTCCTCTGACTGGCCACCAGCTCGTCCGCCCTGCCCCATGCAGGGCAACGGGTGGAGAGGGGGGGAGGAAGGAGAACGTGTCGCGCGGTCTGACGCTTTGGATCGCGGTCCGCGGAACCTGGGATGATGCATCAATGCATTTGTTCGAATGTTCCATGCGCTCCGTCGTCATCCGGTTGTTCGTCATACTGGAGATAAATGTGTAGTTTGTCTGTAGGTAGGATCTGTTTTTTTTTTTTTTTTCCTTTGCTTCTTTCGAGGTCAGAGGGTCGTATCCCCTACAGGCCGTCTGCCATCTGACAGACCATGATGGTTGTTGACTGGGATGAGGGGGGAGGAGAAGAGGGGGGAAGTTCTTTTCCCTCTGGTCCACAGCCCGCGGAGATGTTCCGGCCGGGCAACAATAGCACAACGACCACATTCAATAACCAGTGGATGATGGTGGTCCGGCCAGAATTTTTCGTGGGTTCCGTTGGGGCGGAATTCTTGTCCTCTTGCGTCGACCCTCCTCCCCTCACATCTCTCTCCTGCTTTGCATGCTTTGCAGTGACTGTGGTCTGTACCTCGGTTGACTGAGAAGCGAGTTGCTCGATCTGAGAACTCAATTGTCTTGTCTGACCTTCGACATGCCACTTGTCATGGAGCAACCAAACGAACCAAACGAACCAAACACTCGTGACCAAACCTGACGAGGATTTTCCCTGCCTCCGCACGGGCCGGGGGTCTGCATGGCCTGGTGTGCTTACCATACCATACGCGGTCGACTAAATTGCCCTTGTCAACCAGGAATGACGACCTGCCAACAATTTGCTACCTGCCATAACAGTGCTAGATGAGATCCCTGCGACATAAGCACTACTCGTGCTCTTGAATGCGACCAGAAACCAGACCCAGGCCGGACTTTGCCATCCCCCAAGTGTACCGATACAGTAACACATTAGGAGACCTCCGATAGGAGTCTGTTTGTGCAGGCCGAGAGTCGGCCCTCGCCTACTACGCACAGGACATACAGTACAAACAGTACATACAGTACAGCGCTTCTTTCCCAGATCTGCATCCTCAATATGTGTAAATGCCCGCGGCTTACTACAGGCCTGGCAATCCGGGGAGGGATCATCATCATCACGAGGTGCAAGCCATGGGATCAGCTGAGGGTTCGCAACAATGGATGGGCTGATGGCAGGGCAAGCAGGCATTTCGCTTGGATCCTTGGCATCGTGAGAGGAAGGGAGAGGAGAGACAGCGAGCCGGCATTCTTGTCTCCATAATCTTCGAACGACAACAGTAGAAGTCAAACCCCTGCAGCTGTAGTCGAGGCAAAAGCAGAATGACATGCACCTCCCTTGTGTGCGACTCGGCTCTGGGGTTTGCGGTGCATTGCTTTGTCACTCTTTCCCCCGAAAGATGGGGGAAAGTCAGATGAAGGGCCTCTTATGTCATACGTATACTGAGTGATGCTTGTGGCATTTGATTCCTCGCATTCATTTCCACAGCACCCTGTAAGAACCGATCGATGCTCAAGTCTTGCCTCTCAATTGCAGAGAGAAAGAATCCAGTTGGGGTGCCATAATTTCAAGTGTAACCCCCTCAACACAGGATGATGCCCTATTCAATTCAACCAGGTCATCACTGAAACAACAAAAAAAGATCACTCTAATTGACATGGTCGGTCGGCATTTCGAAATTGTTAGGTACTTAGTGGTTGGTTAGCAGTAGAGCCAACCCCAACCCCAACCCCATCCCGCCAACGGGGGCCTCGGGAAAGCTGAGTCGCGGCGCCGCGGCGCTCCAATGTCATCTCCGGAATAATCAGACTTCTTCACATGAAGAAGGAAACCTGACTGAAAGGGCCAACGCTAACAAATCTTCAAATCTTCAACTCCTCCTAAACCATTCATTCATCCACCCCCACCTCCAGACACCATCCACCCTTTCACAACTCATTGACTCCAACTCCAAACAAGAGATCCATCCTTTTACCGCGAAAATCCGCAACTTGATCTAATCGATACAAAAACCCTGCGGATCAGCCACCGGAGAAGCTGGAATAGTCCAAGACCTCCTCAACACCACCTCGGCTATACACAACCTCCCCATCCCAAAAGCAACGCCGAGAATGTCCTCATCCCACCCCTCGAAAGCAGACACAAGCCCTGCGCAGACGCAATCCACCGCAACCGAGCACGACGCCCAAACACCATCCAGCCCCTCCACCAACCCCGCAGAGACCACGACCACGACAACCATCCCCACGAGCACCACAACATCCTCCACCGCGCAACCCGCGCAACCCGCCAACAACGACGAGGATGATTCCGATTTCGACGAGTTAGACGGTCCGTCTTCCCCCTCCCACTTTTGTTCGTGTGGTAAAGTGATAAGAGTGACGGCTAACAGCAAGCGGGGTAACTTGAAAACAGACGTCCTCGACAACTTCAACAAACCCGCCGCCTCCACGACGACCACGCAGCCGCCTTCCTCCGCCACCGCCACCGCCACCGCCGCCGCACCCGCCACGGAAGATGTTGATCTGGATGAGGAGGCGTTCCTCAAGCAACTCGAGAAGGACATGGCTAATTTGATGGGCGCGGGCGCGGGCGCGGGTGATGCCTCGGCGGCCGGGGGGATGTCCGAGGGGTTTGGGGACGAGGAGTCCCTCGATAAGGACGCGGAGATGTTCGCCAAGTTGCTCGAGGAGGGTGGGGTGTCAGCGGAGGACTTTTTGAAGCAGTTGGTTGGGGATATGATGAAGGGGGAGGCGGGGGGTGCGAAGGGGAGTGGTGGTGGTAGCAGCGGCAGCGGCAGCGGCGGCAAGAAGAAGAAGAGTAAGAGTAAGAAGAAGGGTAGCGGGGGTGCGACGGCTGGGGAAGCGTCCGCGACGAAGAGTGCGCCTGCGCCTGCGCCTGCAGCAACTGATGCTGCTGCTGCTGCTGCTGCTGCCGCCGCCGCTACGGCTACGGCTACACCGGAGACCTTCAACGATACGATCCAGCGGACGATCGAGCGCATGAAGGAGTCCGGCGACAAGGCGACGGCCGCGGCCGAGGAGGAAGACGACGGAGACGATGCGGACGACCTGGTGGCGCAGCTGATCAAGGCGATCGAGGCCGGCGCGGGCGGCGACGGCGACGACGCCGACCTGACCAAGATGTTCCAGGGGATGATGGAGCAGCTCTCCAACAAGGAGATCCTGTACGAGCCGATGAAGGAGCTCGACACCAAGTTCGGCCCTTGGCTGGCGGAGAACAAGGCCTCCGGCAAGGTGTCCGACGCGGAGCTGCAGCGCTACGAGAAGCAGGCCGGCGTCGTGGCCCAGATCGTCGCCAAGTTCGAGGAGCAGGCGTACACGGATGAGGATCCCAAGTGTCGCGAGTATGTGTGGGAGAAGATGCAGGAGGTGAGTGTGGCCGGCCAGCTTGCAATTAAAAACCGTGGGACCGGTTTGGGGCATCTCATCTGATCGAAACTAACTGACTTGACTGTTGTATAGATGCAAGCTTGTGGGAATCCCCCGGATGAGCTGATTCCGGCGCCCATGATGGAGGATCTTATGGGTGGAGGGGCCGGAGCCGGAGCCGGCGTCCCGGACTGTCCGCAGCAGTAGAGGTCTATTTCTTCAAGTTGTTCTCGCACTGGTGGATGCTGATGTTTGTTTGGTCGGATGTGATGATCGCCGTTCCTCTGGCATTTGTCTGTCTATGTCTTGTACATATATCCCCTGCGTTTGCGCTCTCCCTAGACGTATGTCATGATGGTTTGATGTAGTGGCTAGCAACGAGAAAGTAGTGACTCCGTGTGTAAAGGTTGTGAGAGGGAGGGACCTAGAAAGTGAATATATGGCAATCATACTTCTTATAGTACGTCGTGTCCATGCCATTGAATCATACATTATTTACCCAGAGCCTGCAACCATCATCTACTGGTCTCATACAGTATATATACATAACTCCTAAGTCCAACCTCCAGCAAACGCCCAAGCAGTCCATGATACAAGTCTCCATCAGCCCCGAAGTCGACCAGCGACATCCGGAACCAGACAACCACTCCCTCAGAACACTACACTCGAATCCCACCCCAAAGAATCACGACATATCCATCTCCTGACTATGCGCAAACTCCTCCATCCCCGTCTCCCCCACCAACTCCATAAAGATATCATCATAATCCTCATCACTAAACGAGCCCGAGCCCGAGCCCGGGGCATCGTACCCCCTCTCCACCCCCATCTCCTCAGCAGCAAAGGCACCCCGCTCCTGCTCCAAAAGATAATGATCCAGCGCATCCATCTCCGCACCTTCACTTTCACCCTCATCATCCCTTTCGGCTTCCTCCTCCTCCACCAACCCATCCAACCCGAGCCCAAACTCACTCACCGCCGACCGCCGCATCGCCTCCCCCCACCGCTTCTGCTCCGCCACATGCTCCAGCAGCACCAGCTGCTCGCCGCGGTTCTCGAAGCGCCCGTCCGCACGGTCCCGCTTCACGCGGTTCAGGAACGCGTTGCGCCGGGTGGTGCGCGCCGCCGGCGAGGCCGAGGTCCCCGTGTAGGGTCTGGTGGATCGGGCGGCGGCGTTGGCGAGCGGGTTGGCGATCTGGGCCGCGTAGCGGGTGGCGAAGCGGGAGGGGTTGTTGGTGGAGGATGCGATCGGGCTTGTTGTTGTTTCCTTCGTGTTGTCGGGGTCGAAGGAGAAGAGCGGGCCCGCGGTCGTGGTGGCAGCGAAGAATGGTTTTTGGACTGGCGATCCGAAGTAGGATGCTGATGATGCGTCTGGTTGGAGTGGGGAGGAGGGGAGGAAGGTTGTTAATGGGGTTTCGGGGTCGGTAGGTGCTGCGCCGGCGTTGGCGGTGTTGGCCAGTGGGCTGGAGAAGAGGTTGCGGTTGTTGTTGTTGTTGTTGTTGTTGCTGGTGTTGGGAGTGCTGGGGGTGGTCATTGTTGAGGAGGATGAGAATGGTGAAGAGTGGTGACGGCGAGGAGAGAGTGGTGAGGGACGCGTGGGTGTGCTGCAGTGCGAGTGCGTCCGGGCAAATGGTGCGGTTGCGGTGGTGTGAATTGGATTCGAAAATTGGTGTTCTTGCTGCTGCTGCTGCTGCTGCTGCTGCTGCTGATATACAGGCTGCGTCGCGAGCATCATTGCGAGCGGAGAATTGTTGCGGTGCGGATAGGGAGAGAAGGAGAGAAGCAGTGCAATTGTACTGTTCTCGGTGGCCGTGATGTGATCCCGCGGTACGAGCAGTGAGGTTTTGGGCTTGGTTCCGAGCGGTAGTCCCACTTTCTGTCTATGGTCGTGGATGTAGATAAGATCGGTTGTAGAAAATGAGAGGACTTTAACGGATGATAAGCATCAACGGCGAGAAGGTGTTCTGGCGGTATTTACAGCGGTGTCTGTCGCTTCGAAGATTGTCCCAGCCACTGCGATAAGGCAAAGTATTCGCATTTCGCATGCCGGGTGGGAAATTCCCTCCCGCAACGCGTTCGCGTCAGACACGGAATCACGTGCTTACAGTGGCTTCATGCCTGGTCCCTCAGGCTCTCAGGCGTTAAGAAGGTAGATCGGACATGTCAGCTCCGCCCCAAATAGGAGGCGGTAATGTAGTCAACTTGAGGATCATGCTTCTTTATAGAAAGCTTGATGATCATCAGGGACAATCCCCGGGCGAAACGCGTTCTTTCTCAGGTTCAGGCTAGATAATGACGACATACTGCCGGACGGGATATAAAACGTTACGCGCAGCGACCTTCTGCAGGGGAATACGTAGTCGATCCATTGGTCATGAGACCGTCTACTCGACGCCCCCGAAGCAACATATTGCATAATTCATGCTTCAGGAGGCGCCGTCTTAGTCAACGATCTACCGCAGATCCTACAGCGAACAAACTTGATACTTCTCAAACATTCGGTCAATTAAATACATACAATCAAAAGCTTTTTGAAGGCTGAGATCGAAGACCTGCAATCCAGAGAGCAAAGATAGTGAGACGCGAGAATGCCACTGTCCAGCGTCCCCTAGAATGAATCAAATGCTTCGAGGGGGGAATCAAAGTAAACAGAAACCAATCATGCTAGAACAAAATCCGCTGTGCTATGTCAAGGAGTGTAGTGTATGTCGGAAAGAAGCGACATGTAGTCTATCAGAGAACGGGAAGGGTGGTTCTGCAAATGTGAAACACACATCGGGACAAAGAACTGAATAACGATAAAAATCAGACTCGAGGAATTCCTCGCCCACAAGCGCCATGAAAACTGCGTCATAATCGTACAAACTTTACAGTTCCGGAGCGAATATCCAGACGTTGTATCTTATCTGAGACAAGCAGATACAGAGACCGAAGATCGGGCCAGACTTAAAAGTTTGATGCCGCATTCACCGGACCAGGGTTGTGATACTGGTCAAGCGTGGTCTTGAAGGGCGTTCCACCGGCACCGGGGCTAGGAGCCTTCTCGCGAGCACCGGATCCGACGGCAGTGCCGCTCATGAGGTCGGCAGCTTCGTCGTTGTCATGAGCAGCCTTGCGAGCATGGATTCTCCAGGCCACCACCGCGATGGCTCCAATAATGATCGCACCACCGACACCCACAACAACACCAATAATGATCTTCTTCTGAGACGACGAGAGACCGGAGCTGCCGCTGGAGCTGTTGGAAGAGGCCCCACTGAGGCTGGGAGAATCGGTCGCGCTGCTAGCCGGAGTGGAGGTAGTGGTGAGAGTGGTCTGCACAGGGGTTCCACTAATGGTCTCAGTGGTGACGACGGTCTTAACGACAGGGGTAGCCGTGGTCTGGGCCGTGGTCTCAGAAGTGGTCGTAGAGCTATCTTTGCTGTTACTGTTGTTATTGTTGTTGTTGTTGTTGTTATTGTTATTCGACGAGGTAGTGGTGGCGGCGGCAGCATTAGTAGTTTGAGGTGCGGTCGTATCTGCTGCTTTGGTTGTCTTGGCTGCTGGTTCCGTGGTACTCGTGGTCTCTGAGCTTGACGTAGTCGTGGGTTCAGGTTGACTGGTAGTGGAACTGGTGGTCTCTTTGGTGGATGAAGTCGACTCGGTTGATGAGGTTGACTCGGACGTTGTGGTAGGAGCAACCTCTGCGGTAGTAGCAGCCGCAGCAGAGGTGACAGCGTTTCCTACGCCCGTGACCGCGGCGCTCTGGCCAGCGACGACGGCCACGAGGGAGAGGGAGTAAAGGAGGAACGAAAGACGAGCGGCTCGCATGATGACAGCGGTTGGTTGGTTGGTTGGTTGGGAGTATTAAGTCGGAAGTCAAGTATCTCTCAAAGGCTTCCAGCGCCGAACGGACGGAGGTTGTGGGAGATGACTGTCAGACGAGACGTAGATGGGTATATTGAGAAGGTCAGATTTCCAACGCGACAAAAGCCCAGATGGGAGTAAGCGATCGTATCTGTAGTCGGGAAGAGCGTGTAGTGGGTAAAGACACCGATGAGATAGGTGTCTAAATGGAAGATGGAGGGGTTAACGAGAGACTGCAGATGTAGAAGACACCCGAAGGGCACACACACGATACAATATGGAGTGGGTAAGAGAAAGAGCGTAAGGAGGTGCGGGATGGAGATTATTGAAAAAGGATTGGAGAGGGCGAGAAGGGAAGGGAAGGGAAAGGTCAGTGAGTGGCAGTGGGGGGACGGGAAGGAAAGGATTGGACTGATCCGCTCTGCCTCTCCCTCTTTCTCTCGCTCACTCAGTAATCAGTCACTTATTCACTCACTCACTCACTCACTCACTCACTCACTCACTCACTCACTCACTCATTTCACTGCAATCCTTTGCACAACCGTCCGGCCGCTGAAAAGTCACCGGGGCGCCAGGCAATCCAAAATCACCAATGGTGAACGCGCGCCCAGCCGTGGGCGCTCCCTAGTGTTGGCGCTAATGAGGTCCACTGACCAGTCAGCGGGAGCGATATGAGACAGATTGACCAGGGGGTTCACTAGATTTTGGAACATTTTGTGCATTATTAGCCCATTGTGACTTTTGTGAGCATTTTCAGGCGCCTGACTTCGGGGCAGTGTCTTTGTTTGGGGCTTCGGAGGGGGAGGTTGGGTCGGCAATCCCACTTTTGATTCGTGGTCTTTCCACCGGCACACCCGAACCTCCTTCATCAATGGGTCTCACTCATACCCTAAGGCTGTTAGGATTATTATCTGTCTATCTGTCTCCATATCAAGTCAATACTCAGTGCTCCGTAGACCACTAATTATGACTGCTTAGGCTAGCACACTGCTTTTTTCACCCCCCTCTCTCATCACTAGCCAAATTGATAGTGTGGGAGATCTTTATCCGATCTCTAACAAATTAATGAAGATTCCGCGACTATGGTTCGGTGATACTATTTTAAGGTCTGTACCGTGGATTTGATGTACCAACAATGACAGTACCACAGAACCTCATTCAGGTTCATCTTCTGTTCCTTTCTTACAGTCCTTACTCCTTAGGTCCTTAGGCAAGACTCAAACATCCCAAACAAATGCCATCCACCAACCCGAGTCTCTCTCCCTTGGACTTCATGTTTCGCCTGGAAGTCCCGCATTCCTCCGCGTCGTGGGCAGTGGAGTAATTACTCAGTCAGTCCACATCATCCATCAGACAGACCCTGGGACATGGTGCAAAAAGGTACTGCAGAGAAAGGAATTTCTGATTGGCACCCGGTCTCGTGCCTGAAAGAAAATTTCGATTTAGACCCATCGACATTATGCCGGTGCAGCCGACGGTGCTCCATAATCAGACTCTGTTTTTTTCTCTTTCTTTTTTTTCTTTCGGGGTGGGAAGATCGCCTTAACCATTCAACATGGTTTAGCGTGGCGAGACAGAAAGAACTGCAGGGGCAAGCCATCCCTTCTTGACCTACGGATATGTGTACAGCACTTGGGTAACTAGGCGATGCTGGAGCATGCCCTACGGTGGGTGTTATGCCGTTATCCGGAGCAATTGGGATGCATAGATACTATTATTGCCCTGAGCTTTGTGCATCTCGAACGAGTCCATTGGTCTTGACTTGTGTCTGGCCAGTCTGCCACGGAACAACCAAATGGTCTGGACAATGTCGAAATGGGCAAAGCTTGCGTGTCGCACGCAGTCGAGGCATGATCGGATGGGGAAAAGCTTGGTCTTATCAGATCTTGTTGACACCTGAGTCCCTCAGAAAAAGACAGTTCACAGCTCCCCTCCGCCTCTCTGATCCGTGATGTAAGGGTGTCTCAGATGTAGACATGCGATTTCTAGAGTGATATCATCCTAAAGTCCACCCATTAGAGCTGATTGTACCGGGCTGCTCATACCCTGCAAGACCGTGCAGCGACAGCAGCAGAGTCAACTGCTAAGCGACTTGCATTCGCAATTCAACCATCATGCAATTTCTCTCGCCTTCCAATATGTCGGATTACCCATGTAGGAATCTGTATGAGAGCAACATGCTAGAATTGTTGATTATCGTCTAAGCCTCGCTATCATCATGCAGAGATCCTCGCCTCAACCCTCAGACCACCGCAGACCCGGCTGACTTCTTCTTACTAATATGTAGTCATGTATGTACCGTATGCATCATTCGATATCATACCTCTTAAGCCGCATTGCTTCAATCCCGGATATCCCGGCGAGTTACTCCGTACAGGAGATACAGTATGCACAGATGCACAGTACCAGAGCCCATGCTCCCGGCTGAGAATCACTCGATCCCATCGCAAGCCACCTGAAATCAGCCACTACCTGCAGAGACGGACTGAGCACGATCAATCAGACACATCACACAGTACAGTACGATAAACAAGCCACCGCCAGGGCCTTCCAGACAGTAACTTAGTTAGCAGGAGTCTTACAAACCACCTGATCCAACCCTCGTAAACACCCATAGCCCAAAGCTTAAGCGCAAAAACAATAGTTGCTAGCAAGCCACCCGAGCGTTGCCACGAGGGAAAGGCCGGCAGTTGCCACGAAAGCGAAGCCACTCTCTGCTGACTCTGCCACAGCGTCACTTCGCATCAATTCTGCCTGACTCACCGTATGTTCGTTGTCCGATGCTTACGAAGAAGAGGATACCTACGGAGTACCCCGTCTAATCCTCCCTTAGCAAGTTAACATAGTTAACACGCATATGGATCGTGGGTTCTGCTAATTAGCGGCCACTTCTGCGATTTGGGTTGTAGACGTTCCCGAACTAAATTTACGGGAAATGCAAGTTGCGACTTGTAACTCAACTCTGTATCTCATGCCTGTAAGTAATTTTGGAAATGGACTGCTGAGTTGGCAATCACACAAACATAAGTAGCGAAAGTAAACAGAAGGAAGGGTAACTAAGGGTAGACTAAGGGGACGGGAGGCGAGGGAAACAGCCTGGAAAAAGGCCCAGCCCAGACCAGACCTCCTCGAGACCCTGCATGACACCTGTAGCGGTAAGTTGTAACCACGGACGGAGAGGCACGCACTGCTAGCTGGCTTCCGATTCAACCCTACTACAAAATACAACATAAACAAGATGGGACCACTTTCCAATCCAATAATACTCCATTGACTCATGAGACCTTCTTCATAATAGCCAACTGTCTCTGCAATGCATTCAGATAAGGTGATCAATTAGTAGATAACTCTTCGGACTTTAAGGCATGCCTTCGTCGTTTCCACAACATTCCGCGCCTCCCCTTCTCCCCCCCCCCACCCCCCTTCGAATGCTTTCCGGCTGATCGGCAGTCGGTGACGGGTTCTAGACTTCCTGTTGCACTCTTCACTACCAACCCTCCCCCCTCCCCCACCGGGGTGGTCGTCATCCAACGTGACTGGGCTCTTGGGGAGAGGGGGCTACTATGTCGGGTTGAGTACTGTACTTGCATGCACTTTCATGTAGGGGTCTGGATCTGGAACCCGGAGAGATGGGTGGGTGGGTGTGGTGACGACTACGTGGAGCGGGTTGGAGCTTTGGGGGTTGCGCGGGTTTATCTACCGGAGTGCGTGTGGGTTCGGCCTACGCGTGCGTGCGTATGTTGTTTGTGTGTGTGTGTGTGTGTGTGTATGCTGATGTTCTTCTGGACAGACAGGGTCGGCCTAATGTCCATCTGATTTGTGTACATGTACCCATGCAGTCGATTGGAGAAGTGAGTAAGCTTGAATGCTTGGGGGGTCTTTGACAAATCCACCTAAGTTGGTGACTGCTTCAACCCTGAGTTCGTACTGAGTAGATGAGGTTTATAGGGTTTTGTGCTAGTCTATGCGGTTTGCCCTGCCTTGCCTTAGGGGAGTCAGTTGTGCAAAACTTACCAGCGGCTTTGCAGGTCTTGCTCGCATACGCGAGCGTGCCGACTGCGACATGGACAAGGCTCGATATCTACGAGGTGGGCATTTGATCGTATGCATGACTTCTCCCTGGATGACCTATCTCTTCAATCGACGATTTTCCGAGATCGAGGTTGCTGGTGCGAAGATATGAACATCGATGGTTCATGTTGCCTACAGTTGTGAGATGTTTACTTTCATTCACAGATTCGACCTGGGTGGACAAGAAAGCCGATTCAATGAAGTGGACGAGGCAGGACGAGTGCTCGCTCGACGCTGATTCGGATGATGGATGTACGCTATGCAATACACCATGAGTTGGTCTGGCACCAAGCAAGAAACCGGAGAATTACTAAATAAACAGTCTGAATTGATGGGTATCATAGGGATATAGATTGGTTGATATGAGCCTCCGCAGTCGAATTTCCAGCTCGCCGATCAGTATTTCTCCGTGGGCTTTCCTTTGAATTGATTCTGGCACTCCTCCTTGAAGTATGCCCAGAACCTTCTCGGGGTACAATCTAGGTATGTATCTTGTCAGGACCACCAATCCCCACTCAATGTGTTTCGAGACTCTACACAGATGGCAGGCAATCTGTGTCTATGTGTTGTTTGGCATACCAGGGTTTGAGAGACGGCCGGAGCCGCTAATCCGGGGCGTCTCTGGCGGAGGCACGCCGTGTTTCACACGTTCAACTTGTTCATGGACCTTCCCAACGACGCGGTGAAACGTCCGGCTGGAGAGCAGCTTTTTTGTCATAAGGAGTGACTTTGGTCAGTCTTAAGGTTTCGCAGCGGACTTCGGCCATCGTTGACAAACCTGACGAACGAGCAGCGTCTGAGAGAGAAGGGAAAGTGCATTAGCATTAGGCTGCTGTGCGATGAAGGGATGAGAGGAGTCCATTATGCCCAAAGACACACACCTCCAACGCTTGGAGCCCAAGCATCCGGAAGACCATCCTGCAGAGATCCTCAGGGAATTCAGTCGACCGTCTATCGTCTACCGGTGGAACACCATGAGCAGCACTGTCGATGACAGTGTAATCAGTGGTTGCATAAACAGGTGGCGGTTATGGCTACGACGCTGGGAACACAATTGTGGTGCTGAGAGAGAAAGAGCGGAGATTAGAGCGAGTCCGAGATGAGAGATTACCTAAGGACCCGACCGGGTGCTTGACTTGACAGGGCCAATAACAGCCACAGCCGAGACTGAGCAAGCAAACAGCAGACCGGGACCAATGAGAGACAGAAAAGTCTCCGACGCGGGATGGAACCCTTTACAAGAATGCATCTCCGATCATGAATGGAGACTGTCCCAGATGAATTAAATGAATTATTTTGACTCTCACCTCCCTCTCTCATCAAGGTCAGAGTACATAGATCCATGAAGGGAAATCTTGGATCGCCTGCCGGAGCTGATCCAGGTCTCCTGATTACATCACCGTTCTTGTCCCGAGGCCAACGAAACAATTCAAGGTCCCTGGCAGCCTGGAGTACCTTATGCATGCCCATCTCCGGATTGCCAGGACCAGCTATGAATCCCATTGTAGTGATTAGTCCAATACCGTTAGTTTTATACAAGATCGATCCTGCCGCGGTCACTGGAAAAAAAAATTCTTTCGTCTGTGTTGATATAGGTTTTGACTTGCAAGGACATCTTGACAAGCTATACTTCCTCTTCGCATTCTTGCTCTGTTTCCACATACGCTCTATTTCTCTCTTTCTTCCCGACCAAAAGTCATCGGACGGGTGGCCACGTTCTCTGGCAGTGCGGGGAGTGCAGCTTCGAAATAGAGCCGCGAGGGGAATATCCGTGAGGGCAAGGGAAGAGAGAGAGAGAAGAGAGAAAAAAAAATTGCTCCTCTGGCCTTGGCCCAGGTTCAAGCATTTCCCCCCCTTTCTCGTTGGGATATGGTGTGGCATTTTTTATCGTCAAGAGAATAAATATAGCAGAAGAATTTCACCAGCCACGATCTTTGCCACCTGAATTGAACTCATAATCTCATTCAACCCCTCCGCGACCCCTCAGAGCTATCCTTGCCGAGATTATTTTGTCCAACTACCTACCGGTACATACATACATCCAAACCTACATACTGTTGGCTGCAGTGACGCCAGTCCGATTTGGTTGAAAACAAAAACGATTAGTCCGTCGAACGAGTCAGCCTGGCTAACGTTACGATTCGTGCGCGCCTTGTCCCCGTGAGATCGAGAAATCTGGCCAAGCACATTGCCGTGTCGAGGGGCAGCTTCCACAGCTGTCCCGATCTGTCAACGCTTCAGATATCCCCCTCATCATCCCTGCTGCTGCCACACGCCGCCGCCGCCCCCAACGACTTCGAGGCCACTGTCAACCCTACCACCACCACTGCCCCAACCTCCCGTTCTCCTTCTCCCCATAGCACTGCCAGTCTCCGCAACGGTCCTCGTACACTCGCAGCCACCAGAAAGCGGGTCTCCAAAAAGGCGCGCGGCGTCCTGGGCAAGGTTCGGGCCTTCCAGAGGATCGCTGCGGCCAAGATGGCGCATCCCTCCATTAAAATCGACACGAGCGTCCAGTCTACTAAGCGCGCTCTCCCCGAGGACACCGAGGCAGGTTTGGAGATCGCATACGGCTCCGATGACGCCCCAGCTTTGGACGTTGGCGATCATGATTCCGTGCCGCCGTTCCTCTGTCAGTCGGTCGTAGGTTCGTTTGCGCCCGCTTTCTCTACCCTTTCCCCGAGCGCTTGCTGCTTGCTGTCTTTACTCTCCATCTCATGCGCTGGTTCTTCGACTAATACTTTCTTGCTGGGATCGCAGAAATTCATAACAAATTCGAAGAACTTGAATGGATGCAACGGACGCGGCTTCTGGAGGGCACACAGGCCAACGACCCCTCACATCGATGGGCGCTAGAGGCAGATCCGGAAGTTAGAGCAAGGAACCGATATATGAACGTCCAGGCATGGGCCAACTCTCGCATTCACCTGCACGTCCCGGAAGGTGAATGCGACTTCATCAACGCGTCGCCGATCGTTCTTCAAGATTCACTGTCGCAGCAGGCAAGGAGGTATATTGCGACCCAGGTAAGCGGGGCACATACGAACGGGACATTTCTGCGTGCTCTACTAATCTGTTATCATGGATAAATAGGGCCCGAAGCTTGGCCATGTGGCCCATTTCTGGCAGATGGTGTTTCATGAGAGCAAGGACGTCGGAGTAGTCGTCATGCTCACGCAGACCTTCGAGTCCGGGCGCGAGAAGTGCTCGCAGTATTTCCCCCTCAACAGCGACAGCCCTTCCATGCCTCTGCGGCAAGTCGAGTCCGATCAGTACGCAAGCGACGACGATCAGCACAGCAACGGCGAGCTCTTGGGGGAAGTCACACTTTTGGAGACCTCGTGGGATCCCGCGTCGCGGTCTGAAATCCGAAAGCTTCAGCTCACCTTCAGCGGCGAGACCAAGACCGTGTGGCACTTCTTATTTGCTGGCTGGGCCGATTACTCCAAACCCGAAGGCGAAGATCGGGATGCGCTTTTGCAGCTGATCAAGCTGTCCGACTCGAAGAGCGCGCCGGACAATCCACGCATCGTGCACTGCAGCGCCGGCGTGGGCCGCACCGGAACCTTCATCGCGCTCGACCACCTGCTGCAGGAACTCGAATCGGGCCAGCTGCTGGAGGCCGTCGGCCCGGAGGTCGACCCCGTCTTTGAGACGGTCAATCAGATGCGCGAGCAGCGGATGATGATGGTCTACAATGAGATGCAGCTGCAGTTTATATACGAGGTCCTGCGCGAGCAGACCGATCTGAAATTGGGCAAGGTTACCGGGCGCAAGTCGGACGAACGGTCCACCAAGATGGCCAAGTTGTCCAACGAGGCCAATTACCTCGCCAACTACCACGTTTCCTCCAAACCGGAGTTGGAGCCGTCCACACCGACGCGTAGCTGGTCGGGGACACCGGAGGTGTCTGATAATGAATGAGCGCCCCCCTCGCGGCCACAATAATCTTCACCTATAATCTTCTCCAGTACATATTTTTATTCTACTCTAATCCTTATATTTGTTCACTCCGTCCACCGCGACGCTTGTTGCAGTTGTCTTCGTCTCCACCTTCTGTTTTATATTTATAGTCACGATGAACATCTTATGAATAGTTCTTTGGCATCCTCTGTTATGCTCCTTGCCTCTCCATGTTGTTATCTGATGTGCTGTCCAGGCCATGTCGCCGTTCATGACCGGGAGTGGAGATATTATATCGACGGCTGTGTGACTTCGGAGTCTCCACAACTCTGGCTCTTTTCTCTCTCCCTCATCTTTCCTACATACCTATTAGAATGGTGAACCGTGATGCATGTTCGACCTTATTCTCAATCTGCCTTCTATGCTTCACTGCCAGATAGATCTACTTACCTACCTCCCTGATACTCCAATTCACGAATCTACAGGATATGGCCCGAACCCACCACACTAATCTCTTTTCTGCATGCCTCATGAATACGATACCCACAGAACCATCAAAACTGGATACCCTCCCCGTAAGTATATCTGTAAACAATAAACCAGGTTTCCCCTCGCTCAATCCAGCCGCCGAAGACAACCGAACCCGAACCCGAACCCGCAAAGAAAGAGGGAGGATGAAAAGCGCTCCAGAGAAAATCAGTACCTAATACACAAGACCCGCCTATTTGATCAAGCAGGCATTTTCTCGCCCACCATTCTCGATGCAAACCCCCCCCTCCTTAGCGGGAAAGTCTACCTCCTTCCAACGGTGGGAACAAAACTCCCGGTTCGGTTAGAAGGCCATTTAGTACAGTGCATGTTTGCCAGGATCACGGGCGAGGTAGATGAGCCGCTAGGGGGGGGGAAGCAAAGATAGATAGATAAAGCTCGATGGATGATGGTCATTATGTGCTTTGTGGCGTGGTTGTAATGTTCTTGTGCCTGTTCTTGCTCATGAGGATGAAGGCCCATGGGTGATAGTTGTATATACTATATGACAAATATGGGGTGCGGATATGGCCGCCGCGGTAGAGTGAGGGTGGGATTTTGGTTTCTGAGAGGTTCGGAGTGCTTATGATAGCTGGGTAGATGTGATGGGGCTGAGGGCGTGGAAATAGAGCACCTGGCAGAGGGGGGTTGGAGGTCGATCGTCATGTACGTCGTTTCTATGAGGGCGGGTGTGGTCTGTCTGCCTAGTACCTGGGTGAAGGTTCCAGTTGCAGGTTGCAGACCCTACTGGCACGAGGGTTGGATTTGGGTTGGGAGGAGATAGTTGGGGGAGACTGATCGATCGATTGGTAAAGTTGATGAAAGGAAGAGATATCACACAATTGTATGGTCAATCAGTTCAGCCAATCGACCACCAACCCAACCGACCCATCCCAATCAATCGATTTTCCAGCGATCAAGAAAAAATCAATCACTCCGCTTCTTCCCATCCCCGGCCTCCCCCGGCGAAGTCCCGGCGGTCCCGCCTAGCTCGTCCGGCCCATCTTCCGTGTCCCAATTGTCCACGGCGTTCTCGTCCCAGTTGTCCACCTCCTGCTCCAGGTTCAGGACGCCGGTCTCCTGCGGGCCGAGGCCGTCATGGTCGTCATCGAGGTGGTGGCCGCCGCTGCCGGCAAGCCCCAGCTCCACGTCGTCGTCGGCGCCGTCGCCGCCGCCCAGGCTGCCGAAGCGGGCCTTGCGGCGCCGGTCGAGCATGCGGCGATGGTACCAGCTGCACAGGCCGACGGCGCCCAGACTGCCGACGATGTTGGCGAGGAGGTCGAAGGGGTCGAAGGTGCGGCCGTTGGGGAGCAGGCCCTGGACGATCTCGGAGCCGATGCCCAGGATGAGGGTGCACACGACGAGGGTTAGGTGCAGGGTGCGGCGGCGCGAGGTGTCCGGGATCCAGTAGAAGACGAGCGACAGGAGGAAGAAGGTCACGACATGCAGGAATTTGTCATTGGGTTGCAGCTGGGACGGTATGCTGGACGAGTCGCTGTGGGGGAGGAGGCCGATGTAGGCGGCCAGGATGAGGAGGAAGACAAAGGCGCCTGTTTTGGGTGGGATTGATTAGCATGGTTGAGATGTATGGAGTGGAGAAGAAGATGCTGTAGTTCAAAGCTATCTCCGGATAACTTTGTGTGTGGTGGATAGAGGTAGCTTGGGAAATTCATCTTGTCTGTGTGTTTGCCCGGAATGGGAGGTGGGAGAGAGCAATCGATAAGAAGATCAAATGGGGAAGAGAGCAAATACTCACCCGCAAAAGGATAGCGGATTCGCATGATGAGGAGAAGGAGGAAATTAAGAAACAATCAGAAGTTGGTGGACAGCGGCCCAGAGCTGGCTGGGAGGAAGCACAGAGGTCGAAGGTCTGGCGATGTTGGTGATTAATAGATAACTTGAAGTTCGCTCTAACTACCGAACTGGTGATGCAGTTCCGAGAACGTCATGTGCTGGCTTGCTTGCTGTAATCTGTGACTGTGACCATACGGTAAGGTAAGATCAGGCCGTCAGGCATCCAATCCCGTTGCTTTCTAGCACTGTTACTTCTGTTACTTCTGTTACTTCTGTTACTTCTGTTACTTCTGTTACTTCTGTTACCTCTGTTACTTCCCATCCATCTTCACCTAATTGCTTGCTTGCTTGCTTCAACACTTCTTTTCTCCCAATCCAAATAGCACCACAGACAATCAATGATCCAGAACACACCCTTATACATCTACCTTACCTGTTGACATTCCCTCTTTGTGTTTGGACTCATTTATCTGTTGAGTATAACTATCACTATCCCTCCCGGGAACAGCTCGGGCTTAGTATCAGAACTGCGCGGTTGGTCTAAACCTGCGGCGGCCGCCGTTCCGCCTTTCACGGCTGCTGGAACCTCACCTCATCCCGTTCGCGCAGAGAACCTCGTAACTGTACGGCAGGCGCCCTTTGCTTTCTTCCATCAAATTTCGCTGCCCTGCCATCACTTTTGGCTCTTATTCCATCGTCCTTCGCTTCTTCGCGCTCGTTCCTGAATCTCTATGTCGTTTTCCGCCGGTCTCCCCGCCCCGTTCTTCCCTCTCCGGACTTGATATTCCCCCCCAGCCCAGCCGTGGAGAAACGAGCAGCAGCCCCCTCCCTCGCCCGCGCCCCAAGAATCGGGGTTTTGGAGCGAGCATGTCGCTCGGACACCACCACGCCTGGCTCCCCCCGGGCCATCTGCGCCCTCCCGACGACCTTCATGATGCGCGGTCGGCCAATGGCTATTCCAGATCTTTTTCCGGCGCTCGCACTCCCCAGTTGCGCGCCTCGGCCGATGCCGACGGCCTGCACGCGGGAACTTTGATATCCGATGCTGATCTGGCAGCCGACGATGACCCACGTATCGCCATGTTCCGGGACTTGTACAAGCGCAGCGAGGCGCAAATCAACGATCTCTTCGCCAACCAGAAATCTGCCGAGGAGGCCGCCCGCAGCGCGGTCGCCGATGCGGAGGAGACCCAGACTAAGAGCCAACGCGCCGACGAGTCGGCTCCGCCTCCCGCACCCGCCAAGAAACCCGCGAGGAAACTCGACGATGACGACTACGACGACTACGACGACGACGACGACGATGATGAGGCTCCAACCCCTCCTAAGCCCAAGTCACTCGGCACATCTCACGACCCGAGCGGTCTCCCGTCGCCCAGTCGGCCCTCCAGTGGCTCCGTGTCGGTCGTCATCGAAGCGCAAAAAGAAACTAAGAAAGAAACCCTGGAGGACATCCGCAAAAAGCTAGAACAAGATAAAAAGGCTACCGAGGAGGCCGCCAAACGGAGTTTCCACACCCTCTTTTACACCCTAGAAAATGATAGAGATGCCATGCTGGACCAGCAGCGACTGGAAGAGTCGGAGCGCCAAGTCGAGGCGGAGATGTCGGGCCAGGCCAACGCAGGCAACAACCCCAATTCCAACTCCAATGGGTACGGCTCGCTGAGTAGCGCCAACCTGGGCGCCTCGAGCCTGACCCTCAAGAACCTGATCGCGCGCATTGACATGAAGCGCACCATGGTGCAAGCTTCGGATGCAGAGCTGCGCAGTCTGATGAGCGAAGTTCGGAAGAACCGAAGCAAGTGGGCCAGTGAGGACAAGATCGGTCAAGAGGAGCTCTATGAGGCCGCCGAGAAGGTCCTCAGTGAACTCAAGGCCATGACAGAACACTCGACGGCGTTTTTGACCCGCGTCAACAAGCGCGATGCGCCTGACTACTACACGAGTAAGAACTCTCTGCTGTCTTGCGAACGGATCGTCGTTCTTCAGTATGCTAACCTCTATTTCAGTTATCAAGCACCCCATGGACCTTGGCACTATGACTAAGAAGCTCAAGGCTCTGCAGTATAAGTCGAAGCAGGAATTCGTTGACGATATCAACCTAATATGGTCCAATTGTTTCAAGTACAACACTAACCCCGAGCACTTCTTGCGTAAACATGCATTGTATATGAAGAAAGAAACTGAGAAGCTCGTTCCCCTTATCCCGGAGATTGTCATTAGAGACCGGGCCGAGGTGGAAGCAGAAGAGCGGAGGCTCCAGCTCGCCGAGATGGATGGCGCAGACGAGAGCGACGATGAGCCCATCATGTCGTCCCGTGGAAGGAAGGCGCCTGGCAAGTCATCGAAAAAGGGAGCTGCTCCTGTGCGGAATACCCCCAGCGGATCGGAACCTCCTGCGGGTCAAGCCTCTCAACCACCCGCGCCTGTACGGTCGGATTCAGACACCGTGATGGAAGGCACCCAGAATGGCTTTCCCACGCCACCTCCCGGGGGAACGCAAACCCCATCGGATCCTGCTGGTGTTGGCGCCGGTGTCCAAGGAAGCCAGGGTGACGCTATGGAGATTGATGGGTTAATACCTTCGAACAACAATACCCTGACTGCCTTACCAGCGTCTGGCGTGGAGTCGGAGGACCCCGAGTATAAAGTCTGGAAACAGGTCACGAAAAAGGATCGTGCTGTCATTGCCGCGGAGCGACATCGCCTGTTCAAGGGCGACAAACTCAACTCTGAGGAGCCGGCCCTGCTTAGGACCAAGGCTGGTATGAGACGGTGGCTGAGAAACCAAATGCAAATCAATGCAGAGGGCGACAAAGCCCGCGAGTCTACCGCGCAGGGTCTGGACCCTGGCGCAGCGGGTGAGACCCTAGCCGAAGGAATCGAGGTGGACGAGGATCGGGTAATTCCTGATTATTACGACGTAATGTCGGGCGTCCCTGACCTGCCTCCGCATTTGTCATGGAAGGAGGACTCCGATGGTAACATTGTGGATGCCTCTGAAGAATTCTTGCGCGTGCTGCCGTCCGGGTCGTTCACTCAACCGGACAGCAAACTTTCCCGCAAGATGGATGCGAACATGCGTCAAATGCAGGAGACACGGAAGGTCTGCTCGAAGATCGGCATTGTTAAGCAGATGCAGCTGCAATCTCAGGTAAGTAACCCTTAAGACTTTACTGAAGATCACGGGTCCTGATGCGCCGCAGATGTACCAAAACCAGTTCCAGAAGTATCAGCCTGAACCGTTTGTTGAACACGATGTTCCCGCACATGTGATGAACGACGGGGGCCCGGTCATTTCTCCGTGGGTGTGCAAAGCAGCTCTGCAGCGCTCAGTAGCGAAGATATTCTATCACACTGGTTTCGAAGAGTATCAACCGTCAGCTCTAGACGCAGTTACCGACATCGCCTCGGACTTTTTCCAAAAAATAGGAGAGACTTTGAAGTCATACATGGAAACACCGAAGCTTCCGGCGACTGAAACTCCAGAACCGAACACAGCGCCGCAATGGAAACGAGCGTATACGGAACCGGAAATGGTCCTCCATACGCTCTCCTCTGTTGGTGTCGATGTGGAAAGCCTGGAGTCATACATCAAGGACGACGTCGAACGTCTCGGGACCAAGCTTTCAACTGCCCATGACCGTCTTCGGTCGTTGCTATCCGAGCTTCTGCGACCTGCCCTTGCGGATGGCGGCGAAGATGGCTCCAGTGCCTTCCAAGACGGAAGCGAGCAGTTCATTGGCGGTGACTTCGCCGAAGATATTGATGAAGACTTCTTCGGATTCAAGGAGTTGGGGCTGGACAGAGAGTTTGGGCTGGCTACCCTCAGTGTTCCGCTTCATCTTCTGCAGAATAGGATGTACAATGCTGCCCAGGCGCAGAACACAAGGTGCGTTTTTTTTTCACTCCTCCCAGACTGAGACACTCATGCTGACATTGTCATCAGTGCTGCACAAGCTGTCACGCTCTTTCCCCCGCCTCCCGCTTACCCTCGCATCACATCTGAGACATTGTCTTCGCAAATTGGTCTGGTACAAGGGTTCCTTGGTGCCAAGTTGAAGACCAGTAACAGCGAGTCTTTAGTCGAAGATCTTGAGCTTCCCCCGAAACAACGACCTACGGCCGCCCGACCTCGTCTTCCTGCATCCGGCAAAATTCAGCCACCTGCAGCAGCTTCAGGTCTCACCACCAGCCCGCAGAAGCGACCTCTTCCCCCATCTGCTGCAAGCCAACAACCCGCCTCCAAACTCGGAATGTCGGAACCCAGTAAGAAGAAAGTCAAGAAAAACAGTGGGGCCAGCATCGGCGCTTCTGAATCTGTTGTAGAAGGAGAGGAGGCATTGCCGGGTGCGGATGGCACGAAAGCTTCAGCCACCACCGCTGTCAAGCCCAATCCCGCTGATGAGCCTTCTGTGGATGCCACTCCTGACCTTAGTGGCAAAAGGGACATGGATACCGGGCCTGATGGCGTCGGTGCGGAAAGCGTTGACAATGCTGCACCACTGACGAACGGAACGGTGGCTGTTGATGCGTCATGAAATGTTATGATGATCATGGTATAAGACCCTTCTTGAGTGGTCTCACGTTCAACCTTTTTTTCTGGGCTCGGGTGATTGGCGGGTGGGCACAAGGTCGGTTTTGGAGATTCCTGTAACTGTAGCGTTTGCCATTTTTACTTCTCGTCCCTTTCTCCCTGCCTCTTACTATTATACCTGGCATGGTGAACCCTTTTTCCCTTCGCGATTTGTCTTCTTTTTGAGTAAATTTTTGCCACCTTAACATCTGACAGCATCACCCTGACCAGCCTCTTTCCTTTTCTTTCTCTGCTTCCCCGTCCTTTTTGTGATCCTCGATTGTGCTCAGTGTGCGATAGGCGCGTGTTTTCTATTTCTTTACTCCAGAATACCGGAGTGTATGAGTGCAGCGAAGGGCAATGGAGGGATCAACAAATCTAAAAAGTGTATCCACATATCTTTCAAGGAACGAGACTTGTGCAAACCAGGATCTCTTTGGTATGAGATTTGACTCCGGGTCCTCCACCCGCCGGACATGTTTCAGGCAAACCACAGTCGATAGATCAGATCAAAATAATAAATCAAATCTGGATCCCTGTCACCTGTTCTTTTTTTTTCTTGTCGTGGGAGTGGGTTACACCAATTCTCCGATGGGCGCAGCAGCAGCAGTATTCCGAAAGGGTGGCACAGCCCTAACTCATCCCGTCGGTTCTTCTGTCGAGGAGGATGTTCACAGAGGGAGATTTCTAAGACAAAGACACAAACAAGAACAAAAACCACTCACCGTGTCCAATCCAAACATAACTACCAGCCCACTCCCTCACAATCACCTAAGACAAGAGAGAGAGAGTGTGTGTGCGTGTGTCGGAAAGGACCCCTGTCGCTACAAACGAACGACCCATCGAATGCGCTGGACAGCACCAATCGATACACTTGCTGCGGTTTTGCGCCCTCGTATCTTCAAGACAATCGCTGGCCCCTTCCGTCGATATCCTGGACTGGACTCTTTCCTCGCCCCTCGGCGGTGGAGGATCATAACGCTGGTTTTTTGGAAATCTCGAGGGGGGAGAGAGAGAGAGAGAGAGAGGTATAGACTTGGCTCACGCTCACGCTTCTCGCTCGCGCCTCGCTTCCTTCCCACCCACCGGGGGACCTCCATCCCCATCCCCATCCCCATCCCCATCACCCTGGGTGGTCCATCAGTGACCGGATATATGAGAGACAACCGGGTACACGCATCATCCTCTCCAAACACGCCCTACGCACAAACCAGAAGATTTCACCTTAGTCTACCGGTATGCTAAACCCGAGTCGAGTCTCTGGCGCTTGCTGGGGTCGATCATCCATCTCTCTCCCCTAAGAACTTAAATCCCATACCCATACCCAGCGCTGATGCAGCGGACAGCGGGCTGAAATCCCATCCCCAAAACCACCTTGACTTAAGACAATAGCATCCCCCCCCCAAAAAAAATATAACAACTCAAGGAACTAACACGAAAAGATCCTTTCCCTCCCTCACAATTCCGCAGAGAGAGACAATCTCCCCCCAGAAAAGGACAACACGTTTGCTCCCGAGTCCCTAGATCGAAATCTTCCTTCGTCGGCCCCGACTTTTCCGGTAAGTTATCATTTGCGAACTGGACGGTACAGTACAGTGACTGCACTGCACTGCTGCACTTTGTGGGCTTCTTGGGACCAAAAACTATCAAACTGGCCCCTTCTTCTATGTTTCCGGAACTACATTATGATGGTAGTGGGGAAGTGACGGTCGACCCTGTCGGGTAGGTAGGTAGGCTGAGAAGCCCCTGCGGATTCGGCAAGAACAAACAGCATGGGGTTGGGATTGGGGTTTGCCCTCTCTATTCCTCCTCCTTTCTCCATTTTTATTCTTTTCCTCTAGTTGCTACCCTATTCCGCATCTGCCTGCGTGCAGGTGGTCTAGACAGATCATCGGGCGGCCGTTGAGCGTTTGTTGCGAGCCGATTCCGGGATGATTCCCAGGGGGTTGTCATCTCCGACTGTTGGTAGGCATTAGCAGTCTTGTTTACCTGGACCGGCACTGGAGCCTGCAGCCGAGCTACGATGGATCTCCATCTCCAGGATTGTCATCTTATGACTATGGCTCCGTAAGCGAGATTGTTTGTTCGGAATGAGGTTGTGTAACCTCCCTGCCGGCATCCCAGCCCCTGAAGATGTCGGCCATTCCATGAGCCCAACAATGGTCAGATCCTGCTCTCAAACCTACGATCAAACACAATGGGCTTGAAAAGCTTGATTGTTCGATTAAGCAATTTTGATAGCTAAACAGTGGATGCAGCTACGTCTCTAGTCAGCTGGCCCTGTCGTTCAGATCCGTCCAGTCCCGAAGGACCGGTCAGTTCCAATCAACTAGGCAACTTGCCGACCTGAAAACCAAGCTGCAATCCGAGTCGCTATCACATAAATACAAGATGGTAAAGAGATCATCCAAGTCATGTTTGACTGGGTAAAAACTGCAAGGGAAACCCCACTCTTCCGACTCTCCAACTCTTCGCCCTCAATGCCATTAAAAACCATCTCACCGCACCGTGTCAAATCATCCCCAAGTTGCATCGCAGACTCAAATGTACCACATGGTAAAAGGAAGTCTGTTTGAATTGCCAACCATGGGAAGCAGTCTGGGATCGGCAGGACGCTTCTCAGGCTTCGGGTTGGTAAGTTTGACTGTTGGTCCACTCTGCGGGCCCGAACTCGAAGACACATCCTCGTGGTTCTTCGCACGAGCTGCGATCAAATGCGCATAATAAACCGCCGGATCTAGAAACGTTAGTGTCAATAGCAGTGAAAATGACAAGGGGTGGTCAACATACGCAGTGAAACCGATGTAGTAGACCGCATGTACTGATAACAGTGGTCGTAAATCAAATTCTCGAGTTCATGAGACTTATGCCCAATCTGGTCCAAGATCACATGGTAATGCACAGGACGAGAGGTACCCTGAAGCGCAATATGCGAGTAGAGCAGGAAGTCCCAGTCATGAGGACTAGTCACATCCTTTTCAATCAAAGTACCGGGCAGTGGGTTGCCGTTCTTATCCGCAGCATTGCGGTCACCGGGTCTGGGGAAAGCCCGCAGATGGTGCCGTTTGTTCGCAACAACAACAGTGAACTTACCGGCCCATCTATCCTGGGTAAGCTTCATAAAGATGGCCTTCATATCGAACACCTCCGATTTAAGGACCTGTTCAAACTGGCCGGTCGAGACGCCGTCGCGGAGGTAATAGACATGCTCGGGGACACGCCCCTGTCCAACGGTAGACATCCATTCACGGATCAGAGGAGTAAGCATGATCTCAAGATTGGCACGGTTGATAATCTCAATACGATCTCCATTAGCCTCGCAAGCACCGAAGTAACGACCACCGAAGTTGTCCATGCAAACAGAGACAGCGGCCATGGACGGGGACCAAACGCCCATTGGGGAGTGCGTGACATCTGCTCCGATAATCATGGAGTTGGGTCGGAGAGTTGCACCCGGAGTCTTAGAGACCACACGTGCTGTGGTGCCACCAAGTTTGGCATTGACCTTCATCAGGACGTTGGAATAGTACTGTGGGTTCCCCTTCATGACGTGGGACGCAAGCACACACTGGGAAGGAACACCAAAGCGACAGTCGCATGACTTCTTAATCCGGTGATAAGCAAAAGAGTCCTTGTTGGGGACAACAATCATAAGAAGCTGAGGAATCTGCTTGCCGCACTTGGCCATGACCGTGTCATAGAGCTTTTTGATCGCTTCGCCAATATCTTCCTTGAGTTCGACAACGACTGGCCGCCGCGCCACTTGTCCGCCATGTCCCGCATAGGCCTTCATGAGACCGTCACAGAAGGCTTCAACCTGAGCTTTGTTGGCAGCACCACGCTTGCCCACAAAATATCCCACACCCCAGGCCTCGAGGGCGCGTCGGTTTGGCTGGTAGAATTTCTTGCCACGAAGGTCCCAGCGGCCGTTTGTTCCAGGGTTGTGGCGTTGGTTACCACCGAACTGAATGTCGGGGCTTGGGAGAAGACGAGCTTTACCCCGGATCATGTTGTTATCGACCTGGAGTCCGAAAGCACGAAGGACAGGGTCGTTGGAGTGGTCCATCATCTTTTTGTTACCCAGAATCGAGTTGAGCCTCTCAGCTGGGCGAGAAGCACAATACCTGATCATCGCGGAGGTCTGATATTCGTTTAACTTCCAAGGATAGCGGGTAAAGCCATGAATTGTGAGGAGCTCCATGGGGTAAACAACACCTTTCTTGGTCATTTCCACCATTGGCAGCTCAGGGTAATCGAGGAAAATGTTGTACCTCTTCTTGAAGTACTGCTCGACACTCATGCGCTCGACCTTTCCGGTGGCCTTGTCCTTAATGTCGAGCATGTACTGGCGGGCATTGCCGTTGACCAGGCCCTTGATGGTGAAGTTGACGCCAGTGCAGGGACAACCTCTGTAGTGGGCTTGCACTACAAGCTTTCTCACCTTGCGATGAACCTCAAAGAAATGTGGAGACTCGGTCGTACCGCCATGCTTATCTGAAATAGGCGCACATTTGTGCACAACCTCTTGAATATCTCTGGCATCCAGTACGGCAATTGCCAACTGCATCACACCACAGCGAGACCAGAAACAAGTGTTGGAGACGTCGATGTTCACGATAAGTCCACGGCCCTGCAAGAAGTATAAGTAAGCAAAGCGGTAAACGGGAGACTGGGTGCGCTCACCAAAGCAGGACGAATAGCCTGATACACACCCTTGAAGGCGTAGACACATTGGCCCAAATCCTGGCAGGCGCCTTCAGGGTCGAAGAACGAGCGTTTGATTGCCACGTACTTGGTAGATGGATGTTCGCGGAGGACGTGATCAAGGAAGTCTGTGACGTTCGTTAGCTCTTGATCGTGCTCCAGCCAAAGAGGCTACTTACTCAAGGCTTGCAGGACATTCTCCGACATATCGGTGCGTCCCTGGAGCCAAAGGTTCAAGGCCGAAAGATCGACAGCTTTGGTGGGTCGTACAAGCAGACGGAAAACATTGGCCTTAGCACCCTTGGGACGGCCCTGCTCGGCGTCCAAATCGACCATGATGTTCACGCCATCCTTGTAATCATTCAAAGTCCTAATATCACCTCAGTCAGGCTGCACACGAGGACGCGGGGCGAGACATACCAAGCCAGTTTCTGGCCATCGAAAATGATGCCCCTGAGGGCGGCCTTCCTAGCACTGGAATCCCAGACCTTTTTGATCACGGCATTCTTCTCAGCGCCGTTGCCGATTTGGACCTAGGTAGACTGTGAGTATGATATGCTAGTGGTTGAGCGGCCTATACTTACATCGTACTGGAAAATCTTCCTACTTGGAAACTTGAGGATCGGATAGGCGTTCAAAGTGACCTCGATCTCCTTTCCCGTGGTGTTGAAGGCCGGGCGAGGAACGGTCTCGCATGGAATTTTGTACTTTTCCATCTCGTCATCAGTACGGATTCTCAGATGGCGGAGGCCATCTGGGAGCTTGTCGATGGCTTCCAGATTCTCCATGTTGAATAGAAGTGAAGATCAAATAGGAGATTGGAAGGGGTAGGGTAGAGAGGTAAGGCTGGGAATGTAGGGTGTGATAGGCAGACGTAGCTGTTCGTCAAAGGCAAGGGGAAGTCTTGGTAGCTTGAGAAAGACGAAGGTAGGTAGCTTATGGAAGACGAAGGTAGAAGACGAAGTTCAATGTTTGAAGAGTTGTGGTCAAGAAAGGATGATGGAGGATGGAAAGAAGAAGACGAGAGAAAGAGAGAGGGTAGAGGGCTCTTAAATATTGGAGGCAGAACAGAACCAGGGCCTGCCGCTCAGTGAAGCAATAAAAACCATTCAAGGATCTGCTGGCAAGAATAGTGAAGACCAGGTGTCTTCAATAGGAAGCCGACAGCATGTACTAAATCCCCAGAAGGATGAATGGGGCCATCGACCAAGAGCCGCAGTGAAGCATATAGATCCAAAGCGATTCAAGGCCATTCCCCATAGAAAGAATAAAATGAGTGCCATAATCCGGGTATTCAATGGAGACAGAACAGAGGAGGTGAAAACAGGATTCGGGGAGAAGGAAGTGCGATTAGGTCATGCAAAGTCCAGACTATGCAGAGTGAATACGAAAATCAGAGGGAGCGACAGACAGGACAGACAAAAGTCTTCGGAAAATACAGCATTGTCGCGACTATCACCAACCCTACTATCCCCAGGGCCTTGACTGACAGCAACCGTTTGACTGGAAAACACCTAACAGGAAATGAACATACCAGGTGGTTAACATTGTATGCTCCCATGGGCAAATCGATATTCCTGCACATGTCTGTGACCAATCTCGGCTTCTCCAGGGCAGGATCCGCCAACGGACCAGAGCTATGGCTAGCCATTTTGCTAAGCAGGAGAGCCGATGTTGGACTATTTTCGTTTGCTCCTGTAACTCGACATGTCAGCCAGCTTGTTACGCAGCACAGTGATCAAGGACTCGAGGATGCGACAAGCCATGCATTGCAGATGTCGGCCATGCTTGCATGCAATGCACCCCGGTGCAATAGCAGCGAATTTTCGGAAGCACATACCTGGATAGGATTCGACTGCGACGGTCAAGCAAGATCGACTAGGAGGAATTAGGACGCAGGCAGCGGAGCAATTGCTGCTTGCAGGTATGGAGAAAGATGTCAACCGGCAGAGGAAGTTGTCTCAGGCAGGGGTTCGAGGGGATGGGTGTGGTTGCTATGGGTATCCTGACGGATTGAAAGTGGGATGGAGGAGTGGAAGGAAAGATGTGAGGAAGGATGGAAGGGAGACTGAGGGATGTGGAGAGGGCCGAGGTATGAATCTAGGGTATAGGTGAGGTTGGATGTGAGGGAAGAGATGAGTGGAGAGGTAAGAATTGAGATGGGGGTGGGAGTGAGGCCCGAGATGAGTGGGATTGAGAGTGTGGTGAGAGTGTGGTACGCGATGTGTTGCTGGGATGGTAACCACGACCGCGACGCGCTCACCCAAAGAGGAAGAACAAGAACGGGACACGGGATGGACGGTAGAAAAGGAAATAAGCCAGTGGGTACGGCAAACATAAGAGAGAATGTGGGAGTTCGTTGTGAGTGCAGTGCCAGATATCTAGGTACTCTCCGGGGCAAACGAGGTTAGCTACCGGAAAGGAGCAAACGAGGAACTGACGGGGACCATATGGTGATACAACATGAAAGAAATATAGGGAAAACAGGTGGGTCGAGATGAGGTGTTGCTAATTGGTATAGTTGTAAGCCGGCAGAGAAGTCGATGTGGGTGCAATATGAGTTGCAGCTGAAGCTATCTCGAGGAAGTGCTGCGGAGCAAGTGATGGGCAAGCGATGGGCAAATGATGCTTAGGTGCCACTGGGCGTCATGCTACCCATCTGAGCATCGATGTTGATTACAGCTGATACAGATGAGGTGTCTGAGTCTTGCTCGTTGTCTGTATACATCCTGTAGACAAGCCAGAAATAGGAATATCAATCCCAGCCTTATGCTGGAACCGGAAGACCATTATAGCAATTTTAGGACCGAGCAACGCAATGGTCATGGACATGACTCCAAGGACATACGAGCCGTAAGCTTGTGCACTACGGCCACCGTCTTTCTCCATTCTCCACCGCAGCCGCAAACAGCAGTGACATATGCGACGTTCTACGCAGACACTTGATCTTCGAATGCCTGAGCCTACTTGTTGGTTAAACTCAGCACGGCAATTCAACCAAAGATGAACGCTGACCGAGCTCGCTTTCAGGCTCGAAAATGACGAAATTGCCCGGACACGATACTGCCACATCCCAAAGTCTTCGAGGGCTATGGTATTTTGCGCAGATGGAACATATGGGTCAACACAGTTGATTGATCGAGTGATATAGCGAGAAGGCAGAGAACTGAATGATATGATCCCCGCAGCAACAACCCAAGCCTCGCCTTTCCCAGGCCGATGCCACACTGTACAAAGCCGCCCGACGCGATTAAAATAGACAATAAAAATGAAGATCAACCGACGGAATCGCCAAGCTTGAAACGCCCACTCATCAAATGCAAAAGACGACCAACAACTGTACAGTCCAGAGCCGCGCCGCTGTCGCAACCAAAAATGAGAACGAATGATACAGCGCGGGTGCATGGTGGCCACATTCGCGCAGGAAAAAAAGAATTTTACACCACAACGTGTTTATATGACTCAAAGATTAAGACCGATAGGCACCTGGAAGCCAAGAGCTATTAGCCCACTCTTCATCACAAGCAGTGGTGTTTTGAAGGAAGGGTAGTCACATACCAGGGAAGGATTGCGGTGCTTGCCCTGCCCCGAGCCCACGAGGGAAAGGAATTTGCGAGATGGAACTAGGCATATCGATCCTGCGGATGAGATCGACCATTTTCTCCGGAGAAAACCGGCCTGCATTGTACGCAGAAGCCGGAGGAATCATACTCAGGAGGTTGACAATGTCTCGGGGGAGGGGAGCAGGTGACCCCTGGGATCTGAACTGGGATTGAGTGGCCATAGGGCGCTTCTGGTCCATCTGGCGTCTTTGCGTGGTCTTTAGCGGAGACTCTGCCCGAACGAACTTGCGTGGGCGGCTCATATCGTCGTCGAACTCCTCCAACTGCCGCTTGGGTGAATTCGTAATAGACGGATCCGGGAATCGAGAGTTGGGAGTGCCATGGCGAGACATCATCTGGTCCGCCGCGTACGCCGCCTTGGGTCTGGTCTGGGAGGGTGAAATGATAGGATGCACGGCTGTGGGGTCGAAAGCCGGGGTCGAGAACCGATGGGCGAATTGCTCCAACGTTGGGTCTTCGGGAAACAATTCACGCATACGGGTTTCGAGGTTGATGACTTGGACGAGGTCGCCATACCGTGACTCATACTCATGAAGGAAGGCAAAGATGGGCTTGGTCTTGTGCACATTCTCCGGGTTGGAGGCCAACTTCCTCACGGTCATCTCAAAGACCGCTCTAGCATCTGGCACGGCGGAAATCAATATCGTTCCTGACAGGTTCCTGAGATCAGTGGGGGAAAGAAGACTTACTGATGACATCGTTGATGTCGATGAGGTGCTTCAAGTACTCCAAAGCGAAGTTCTCGTCCTCCGGGAAAAGCTTGGCACCTCGTTCGAAGATCTTGGTAGCGGCAGGATCCTTATAACAATGATATTCTATGAGAGCACTCGCTATATAAACATCACTCGTGATGCGACCGCGCTTCCGGGCATCTTGGAAGATCGATCTCGATCCCGGCATCTCGTTGAGCTTGCCCTTGCCCTGGATGCGGCGCATCGCGCGCATGAGGGCGATCCAGGCGAACGAAACAGTCTTGGAAAGGATGCCTATCTGGATCGCATGTGCGTTCCGAACGGCTTCGATCTGGGATTTCTTGACAGACTCCCTCGCCTTTGCCTCCTGCAGGTCGTCGTCATCATCGTTTTTCGACGGCGGCTTCTCGGGTTGCATCTTGGCGAATGTTTCTTCCAGGCGAGCAACATCTTGATCTTCGCGGGTGCGAGCCTTGGCAATCAGCTCGTAGAGCGAATCAAGTAGTCTGTCGTAGGGTTCTCTGACTTTGGCACCGCGCACGATGGGATCCTGTTCCGACTCGGTAGTGATTTCCAGCCGGTCAGCACGCTTGAATGCAAGCAAGCAGCTCTCCGGATTCGCGTCTATGCCATGCTTCAGGAACTCATTTCCTTCATTCTCTAAATCATGATGGAAGCAGAATTCGGCTGCTTCGAACCACATTTCGGGCAAGAATCTGAGAGCCATGAGAGCTTGTTTGTAGACATAGATCACCCGGGCTTTGAAGGTCGCGGGGTCGTCTTCCTTCAGCACAAGTGGATCGTCCTTCTCCCATTTAATCCATTTCTTCCAGATCTCCACCTGTTGCGCATACTCGACGTCGCCATCAGAGCCGGGCACAGGCGGCATTCTGGGCAGTGATGTGCGAAGGAGTCCCTGCGTGATGTGCTGCAGCTCATGGTAAGCGGTACGAGCGGTTACAAAGGCCGGCGACTGTTCCTGTACGAATTTGAAGCCCTATGTAAATTCAATGTGAGCCTGACAATCTCCCAACCACAAACCGGCTTGATAGACTTACCGTCATCTTATTCAGTGACTTTTCAAATTGATCATACTGGTTCCAGAGTGCGCTGGTTTCCTGGTTGGGGACGCAGATGGCCTTATGGTAGGCCTTGCGGAGCAGGTCCATCTTCTGTTGATCTTGCCATCCAGACCCTCCAGCATTTCCGGGGCCCGAGCGAATAAATTGGACATACTCGGCGTAGATGGCTCCCGCGTCCTTATCGACGCCGACATGTTGAAAGGCTAGATCATAAGCCGCAGTGATGATTCTCCTTGCCTGGCCCGTGGTATCTGTAGTCAGGGGATTCCGCCGACGAACGTAGTCCAGATATACGGTCCACAGTCGGACGTCGGGAATGGTCAAAAGGGTCCGGCTAAAGATCTGTTCTAAACGGAAGAGCTCATTGAGCTCCGCTTCCATATTCGCATATGCAACCCATTGTTCGGCCTAGAAGGCAATTAGCCGACAAGGGTCACGCTGGCGAGTGAATCCAGCGATACTCACCGAGAAAGGAAACACTTTCAAGAAGCGTTCATAGACGTCGCGTGCATTGTCGATCCTATTGCGGCTTCTGTGTTCGTTAATCAACTCCAGCCAGGCAGACATATCACCTCGGGGGTCCTCCTTGATCCTGTCCTCCAGGATGCCGATGCGATCGTGAGGCAGGCGACCCTTGGTCGTGGAGGGAGATTCCGGCTGGGGAGTAGCTGCATTGCTCTCCTGCGCGCTGTCCGGCGGTAGAGTACGCGCGTTGTACAACTCCTGGCCAGAAGCCACAGACGCATCATTTTTAGAAGCAGCAGGGAAAGAGCTATTAGGGACATTCTTGACGCTGGCAGACTCCTGCGCAGGCTCATCCAAAGATACATCAGGGGTAGAAGTAGCTTCATTTGCATTTCCTGAAATGGGTTGCGAAGGTATAGTATTCATGTCCTCGACACCTAGTACAGCCGGCGGCTCATAATCATCTGCATCACCCGCATCATCCTCGTCCTCATCCTCAACCACAAACCCCCCAATCGTCCTGGTCTTGGGCGGAACAGAAGCCCCAGTGGCAAGGCCAGATGTTGATGCCTGAGACTCAGCTCGGGAAGGTGTTTGGGAAGGGTAGGTATTGCCAGCTTGCTGACTAGGGTCTGTTTCAGGGGCAAGGGAAGAAGAAGAGGTCTGGTCTGGTGGCGGGGTGGAATTGGAAGGAGGAGCAACGGAAGGAACATTTTCAGTTTGCTTGGAATCTGTCGCGGAGGAAACAGAATACTGATTTGGCAGTGTTTTTGAAGGGTCATAATCATCTGAATCTGAACTATCTGCAGTATGCTCTTCCACAGCCTTATAGTCCACAGAGTCCGCATTCATTGCCTGAGCCTGGAAAAAGGCGTTCTCGGCATCATCTTCAGCCATGACAAAAGGATGTGGTCTCGCTCGCGATAAGGGTCAAATAGTCGGACTACCTGCAAAGAGTGGCGGTTAGCGACTGGAGAGCTGACGTTGAGGTAGAGGGGAATGAGATCGAGATGACTCTTAGGGAATCATACGGAGAAGAGGGTGTGTGTCAAGCGGGCGGTGCTACCGACTGCCAACCCAGAGTAATCTGGAAAAGACAAAGGATCGGAACAAGTCTTCTAGATTGTAGCTTCAAAGGAACCAAGGTAGAAAGAAAAGGAAATAGCAACAGCTGCAAGCGACTGAACGTTCGGATAATGAAAGAAACCCTCCTGGTGGATCTCACAGGTATCACACCGATGGAGATGAGGTGCAGTTGCAGTGGATTCTGGGCTGGAGCTTGTGGCAGAAGCTGCGGGCTGTCACGCATTGGGCGATAGATAGCACGTGATGAGCTGTGGGCGGTGAGCGCGAAAGATGCGTCGCCTTGTCGCCCACACGCGCCCGGCGGCGCGTTGCCGATCCTTCTTTGGGATGTTTAATTGACGGCCTTAGCACTGCTACTACTAAGTTACCACCACTACCATAACAACCACCACCACTACCATTAGGTACAGACAATAACTTACTTGCTGTCGTTCTCGCCTCCATTTATCCCTCCAGTTCTCTTTCTCTTCCTCTCCCTCTTCCTCTCCCCCTCCCCTCTGTCTCCCTCCCTCCCTTCCTTTCCCAAATAAAACTAGAGCCATTCCTCTAGCACTTTGTTTGTTCCTCTCTCATCTGTTATAAATTCTCCACCTTTCTCAACCTCAACACCCTTTCATCTGATAATTCTTCACCCATACCCAAGCCCTCAGTCAAGGCTTCGCAACCTCCGTTCCAAACCACCATGTCGGTCGTCTCTCTCCTCGGCGTCAAGATTGTCAACAATCCCGCCCCCTTCACAGCGCCCTACCAATTCGAGATCACCTTCGAATGCCTTGAACAACTTCAAAAAGGTAAAAAAACAAATACTCTCTCCATACCTATCCACCTCCCTACAACCGCAGCCGCTAAATCTCTCCAACAAACTAGATCTGGAGTGGAAGCTCACCTACGTCGGTTCTGCCACCTCGTAAGCCCCCAGCCTCAAAAACCCAACCCCATCTCCGATACTTTCTACCAGACACTAACCCTCAGTTTCCCAGCTCCGAATATGACCAAGAACTCGATTCGCTACTCGTGGGCCCCATCCCGGTGGGCGTCAACAAGTTCATCTTCGAAGCCGACCCGCCCGACCTGAAGCGCATCCCCACCTCAGAGATCCTGGGGGTGACCGTCATCCTCCTCACCTGCAGCTACGACGGTCGGGAGTTCGTGCGGGTGGGATATTACGTGAACAACGAGTACGATTCGGAGGAGCTCACCGCCGACCCGCCTGCCAAGCCCATCATCGAGCGCATCCGTCGCAACATCCTGGCGGAGAAGCCGCGTGTCACTCGATTTGCGATCAAGTGGTAAGTCGTCCTATAGCTCCTCACACTTTGCCGCGCCCGCTGCTAATGTTCTCCGTGCCAGGGACTCGGAGGAATCCGCCCCCGCTGAATACCCCCCCGACCAGCCGGATGCCGACCTCGTCGACGACAGCAACACATACGGTGCGGAGGAGGCCGAGCTGGAGGCCGCCCTGGTCAAGGAGCTCGAGGAAGCGGAGCGAACGGACCCCTCCCGCGGCGAGGACCAGGACATGGAGGGCGGGGAGGCCACCGCCGGGGACGAGGAGGATATCTCCGACGCGGAGAGTGAAGACATCGAGGATGAGAGTGACGACGACGAGGAGGAGCTCGACGAGGAAGAGGGCGGCGACGGCGACGAGGACATCGAGATGGGCGATGACTCGGAACCCAAAGATGAGGCGGCCGGCGGCGCCAGCAACAACCCCACCACCCACCATCAGCCGGAACTGATGGTCCACTAGACTCCATTCCCTCTTGCTTTGAACCCTTCTCCATGGATTGTGGGTGTGCGTGTGGGCTTGGGCGTGAGAGTCGTTGATCTATTCTTTGCTTCTACTTGGTATCCTTCGAAATGATTTTACGATTGGGTTTGCGACGTGCTTCTTCTTTTTCGACGATACATCTTATCATATCATATTCCCATCCAAACCAAAAAAGGTTCCGCAGTATTTACTTGACATAGAAAGAACCAAAACCATAATTTGACCTTCCAGAAAGAAAACTTCCTCACATGCTCCCTTCCAAGCACCTCTAAACCCAACCCTTCCCGACTCGAAAATGAACAAAATCCAACCCTGGACAGTACAGTAACGGACATTCCTCCCACCGGCCGCGGACATAAAACAGCCCCCCCCGCCCCCCAAAAGCAAGGAGAAGATCAGATCAACGGGGGTGTCCCACGTACCCGTGGCAACTCCTCGACCCCTGACATCGGAACCACGCAAGGCTGAGGGAAAGGGAAGGGAGGGTCGTCCCTAGAACTCAGCGCTGTACCGCACAGCACATAAACCAGCCCAGCCAGGAGACTCAGTTCCTGTGTATATGTACAGTACCAATTTGGGGCTTGTAGGACCGGTTACCTCACCTTCCACTCGCCGTCAACCTATCTTCGAGAAACTCTGGTGGTGAGGGGCTTTGGGGATTGGGCCGGAGAGGCCGGATTGTGGAGGGTTGATGGGGTCGATTGCGTGAAAGTTCAAGCAGGATGGAGAGAAGCAAATGGATAGGAGGAGAGGGAGAGGGGGGGTTGGTGGTGTTGCAGGCGAGATGTGCGGTGAGAGTGGGAAAGAGAGTGAAATGAAGAAGGGAAGACGGTGCGGTGGGTAAGTAAGGGTATACTGGACTTGGAAATGTAGTGCGTTTCCGCTATAGTATCGGTATGCATGTGCAGGTAGCTGGTGATCACCGACGGAAGAAGGAGTTCTTGCTAATATGTGGCGTTCGTGCTTGAGGCAGAAATGTAAATATCCCGGGGGAAAAGTGGACCGCCGGGCTGGGCTGTACAGGAGTCCCTACGGTGCGTAGTGAGATTCTCCGGTTGTCGGAGTGCATGCGATTTTGATCTCAGAAATAATGGGACATGTGTGGTCGGAGGCAAATCCGCCAGAATAGGTACAATGCTTAGTATGTTTCGATGCATGTATAGTCCGAGGTTAAGCTTCTCGGCAATATCTGGAAGTCATCTATTCATGATATTGCCCCTTACTGCTAAGGAACACAAACACCATTCAACGCCGACAAAAGCTGGGTATGAATAACTAGAGCCCAATATCAGGTTATTGAGAAACACAATTCTTTGCTCCTCATCGGTTGAAGGTGACGACCAGGAAAGCGGTTCAGAGACCGAATTTGGAACTGAGGGCTATGGTCACTCTGTCAGTATGGCCTAGCATATTTCCAGATCAAGGTGTACTTACCGCCCATCACAGCCTTCCGTTTCTGGGTCTGGACGAATTTGTTGACGTCTCGAGCCCAGTTGCTGCTGCTCTCTTCCAATCGTTCCATCTGGTCACCAGCTAGATTGAGCCGCTCTGTACGCTCCGTGACCTGACGTTGCATGTAGGACCAGTATCCCTCCTGATTGCCTGAGTCTGAAGACTGGTTGGTGTTTGTCCTGCCTTCTCTGAATGCCTTTCGACGCTCCTGTTCGTCCAACCGCATCTGTTCCTGCATGCGTTTTGAGGGAGGGCGATCGGGACCACCAACTAGAGAATGCTGTTAGTTTTTCATGCACAAAATAAGATAGAGATATACCCACTAAGTAAGTCCATGTCGGCCGGCGAGATGTACTGCGTGCCGGAGATCCATTGGATATTCGTGATCGTTGGTCGGGGTGGGACGACTGCTTGAGGATTGTACAATTGGTCCTCAGAAGGTCGGCTGTGATATAAATTAATAACTTGTGTACCGAGAATAAATGCCTTCGGGTCGACTCACAGGCCAGTTCCTGCCCCCCAGACATTAAACAACCCCACTTCTGAAGGGCTTGTCCAGACCATGACGGTACCATTAGAGGAGGCACTAGCATCGGCAAGTCGTCTCATGTCGGCCATCTGATTGATCGGGCTGCAACCGATCTCTTTGAGTCCGGGGATAGAGAAGGCCCGTGTGTTTCCGTCGCCAAAAAGACCAACAAGGCTATAGCCGCGGCCCTCAATCTTGACTACCGTAGCATAATCACAGAGGTAATCGTCCCAAGACCTATGAGCGCCCTTGGATGTCGCAGGCTTGAAAATTCGACACCCTGACACAGTCACGGCAACCACTACTCCATTCACTCTGATGCCGTTGCGGAGGCCTCCAACAGCGTTAGGAGAAGCCGAAGCAGGATTGCCGCTGTCAGCATTGATTGGAATGATGTTGATGACCTTATCGTCTAGTAAGCTTGCACCAGCAAAGACTGCCGAGTAGGTACCATTATCCGATGGCAAAATTTTGAAAGTCGCCAGATTACCTTTACTGGTACCCACAAAACAGCAGATACTTGAGTAGTCTAGAAAGATCATCAGCCATCCAAGCGCGCGTGAACTGTTTTTGAAAACAGCTTACCTTCTCCTTCGAGTGTAAGCACCCCGAACTCGATACATGTGGGCCACTCTGGAGAGGAAGACTCGGAGCTGCGCTGTTTGAAGAAGCTGCTCCTCTTGTTTGCCTTCAGCAACTCCGAAAAATGGGCTGTATGGATGATCGCCGGCCCGCGCAAGTCAATGATTGCTAGACTTCCGCTTTCGAAACCGACTGCGACAAACCCAACCTGGCTGTGTTTGAGAGCAGTCACTGGTCCCTGTTGCATGTTGAGGAGGGTGAGGGGAAGAATGCCTTGCTTGAGCCCAGGATCAACCCGATGAGTGATCGAGGTCAACTTACCGAGCCCTTCATTGGCACCTGGGGGCTGCTCACTTCCGAAATTCTTGTTGCTTCCCCAGCGGAAGACAACAAGCTCACCAGTTCTGAGACCTACGGACAGCTCACCCGTTGAACCACTTAGAGACATCTTAGTGACTTCGACGTTGCCCACACGACCTACTGCGCGGGCCAAGTCCACTTGTATGATCTCTCCGTTTTCAACTTCGTCATCAATGCCTCCGTCCCAGATGCGAATAGTGCCATCCGCATGGGCGGTGGTGATGATGTTTCGATCTTCGAAGCGTTTCAGTGCTTTCTTGGCCTCTGCGCCGCCCAAGAGGAACTTAGGTCCCTGTGACCTGCGCTCTTTCAAGCCCAACCAAGCAGAGCGATCAACTGCGGTTAATGTCGCCTTGGTCACGAACGGGTGCACGAAAGACAGGTATGGGTGAAGCATATTTGTAGGTGTGATAGGGTGTCCAGTCGGGAAGCTCATGGTGATCAGTTCTCCCGAGGACAAGCGGGCAATCAGGGCAATGGGATCATGTGCGCCACCAAAATAAGGAGTGCTGCGTGGAATAGGGCAAAAGTCGACCACCTCACCTCCAGGTGGGGTGGGTAGGACCGAGACACGTCTTGGAGATTCGAAGTACTTCGAAATCATAGGCCAGGTAGACGTTTGATAGTTCGGAGTAGGGCCCAGATCCAAAAAGGTAAGGCCCTTGAGGGACTCGGCCTTTGGCCGACCACCGGCAATCAAAAGCCCACTGTCATCACCGTTGTCCTTGACACACCACGCGACGTGTGTGATCGGATCCTTGAACCCAGTGGCTCCCGCCGAAGAAGGCCTTTCGAGACTTACGCCTGGCTGATCAACATTGGGGGTGTCAATGGACCGAGCCATCACCTTGCGACCGTCCTTCGAATCCCAGAAAACCAGGCTGTTGTCATCATGAACCGTCAAAACGAAGATGCCATTCGGGTGCCAGAGAGCCTGGGTCAACCTGGGTCTGCGCAAATCCGAAATCGGTACCTCCGCATTCCCACCCAGCGCGCCTGGAGGCACTTCATATTCGAAGTATTTCTGTGCGACGTTTTGTTTGAAAGAGAAGGTCACTGCGCCGTCCGGATACCCGACCAAGATCTTGCCAATGTCGCGAGGAGAAAAGGCGAGACTAATTACCGGACACATACGCGTCCGCGCATTGCGTTGAGCCCACAGATTCGGTACCCTGAAGGGCGTCAAGGTTTCACGATCCAGATCGTATGCGATAATGTCGCCTGGCATATGTCATCAGAAAAGGAATCACACGTGAATCCTAGCGGAGCTCGTACCATTTTGCAAGCCAATGAAAGCATAGTCGAGACTCGGGTCGGTTAATAACGCACTCGCATGGCTCGGAGGTGCATACGAAACCAATGTCTTGCCGGTCTCAAGGGAGAAGATTGTGATTTCACTTTTCGAGTCGACACTAACGAGCTTGTCGGCGCAGAATTGAATGTGTTTCGCAGAGGCTTTGCGAGGCAACGAGAAGATGACCGATACGCGCCGTTGACCAAACACGTAGATCTGACCATGTCCAAACTGGGTATCACTGGTTCCGACTGCAAGGAGGGACTGAATCGGGTCGTAGGCAATAGCACTGACTTGAGAGTTGATACCGCAGCGAGCGAACTGGAAGATTGAGAAAGACTGGTTAGCATATACAATTCAATAGTAAGAGGTCCTCGGTAGACTTCAGCGGTGGGGAAAGTAGAAGGCATATCCGGCACAGACGACGTACATCATCGAGGGCGAACAGGTCCGGCGACAACCCTTCGGAAAAGTCCTTCTGGATGCCGGCCTGTTTCCCTCTCAGGAAGTGCGCCATTCTCACAGAGTTTGGAAAAATGGAGAATGGGCAGTGAAGGTTGAACGTGGATAGAGAGAGGATATAGAATAGAAAATAGGAATAAAGACCAGCGGCGACCCCACGAAGGTAGGGATCAAGTCAAGGGCAAGGTCATTACCGCGGGGAAGAAAAGCAAAGGTTCCAAGTTGACTGACGGCATTAAGGCTGATTGATTGATTGCCTTATGGGCGGCGGTCCGGGGCGGGGCAAACTGGATCACCCGCCCGCCCTGCACTAGCCGCTCCCAGTTACGGTGCGATAACAAGACGTAGTCACTGAGTAAACATGTGATGATCAATTACGTCTAGTAGGTCTAGTTCTCCTGTCATTGTTCAACTGCTGGATAAATTCCCTATATTTAAAAACAAGATATAGCTATCGAGTAGAAGTGTATAATGGATGCTGCTCATTCAATTTCATTCTTGCTTCACTGGACCCCATAAATTTTATTCAGTAACATAGCTTGTTTGAATTACTTAGGCAGCAACAATAGTTGTGTTCTTCTCACTCACCGCCAAGGATAACCGGAACCGTAGATAATCTTGATCCTTGATCTCGGCCTTCAAATCACCGGATATTCTTTTCACGGTAGACTGTTTATAATTGGCTTTGATGGGTACCGGCCCTATGCGATCTGGAATGCTTGCTACACCTAGATCGTGGTGTTTCAAAAAACGGTCTTTCAAAGATCTGCGCTCTGTATAGTTCTTGCTATATACAAACAAAGAACAGTCTAAGAACACGAGCATTCAAGTCATGCAATCATCATCCCAACCTGCTGATAGTCAGGAGTGTAGCGACCGAGGAGAACCGAGCTGATAGTTGCCAGTCAGTTTACTCCTGGCACATCATCGAGCCCCTTTAATGGCACTCATTTCTGCCAAGGTCGTCGTTAGCCGTCTCCTCGCCTCCATCTCAGCAGTCATGTCTTTGTCGCGATAATAGTGTATTGTGATGTTGTGGACAGAGCGGTAGCAAGCATAACTGCACCGATCATTAGCTTCCTTCCATGATGTTGAACGGAGCCGGAGTCACCTACAGTAATTGACGAGTCACCTGTGACTCGCTCTTCGTAAATCGAGTGCCAAAGCCTTCGAGCATGGCAGGCGAAGGATCCTCGAAGACCTCGGCCATGTATATGTCACCCCACAATGCATGGCCAAAGCCCGTCACTCCAGACAATTTTCTGGATGCCGGATCCAGAAATACTTGTGACGGACGGCCTAGGCCAATCACTACCAACCGTGGTAGGGTGACTTCTTCCAGTGCATATGACAGACGGCGAACGTGATGCCTAATCTCAGAATAGGGGAGATGAACAAAAGCATCTTCTGAGTCTCGCAGAATGTCCTCGAAGAGCACGACGAAAGCGTCTCTCCAGGAGAGCTTTCCCCGCCCGCAGGCCACCTGATCCAGCGAGCCGAAGGAGTTCGAAAGGGGCTGTCCGATTTGTTGGACCAGCGACCCCAGATCTCTGTCCAGTTTTCGGCGTTCTTGCGTCGTGAGTCGGGGTCCCATCTCCTTCAAGGTCATGCCTGTGACATAATGTCTGACCAAGAAGGCAGACCCAAAAGGGCCACCTTGAAAGCCGTAATGTACAAACGATGGCACATATGGAGTTGCACTCTGCCCTAGAATGGACAGAGCTCGTGCTTCCGTCTCAAGCAGGAGCTGTTCTCGCCGTAAAAGAGGTGTTGTCGACCGGGGTGGACATTTCAGAAGCCATTGGGCTCCATTTGAAAGTATCAGGAGACTGACGGAATGTAGATGACCCTCCAGAGGATATACCTCTTGAATCTGGACCGAAGGCGGAAAGTGCCGTTGGAGCACTGAACCAATAGTATTTGTACTAGGGGGTTCAACCTTGCAAGTTGGCGAGACAGAGAAAGAAGGTGACATGATGGAAGGAGAGGGAGGGATGAATGAAGAAAAGCCAACAAGTCCCATCAGGCTCTATAACTTTCTTATAACATCATAAGCGCCGTGATCTGTAATATCGACCGGACACCGTGCAAACATTGCAGCTTTCAGTAAGAGGGGTGCGAGAGGGGTATTGTTCTTTGGCAGGCAGAAGAACCGGAGATGTTCTCCTGGCAATGGGTGGTAGACAGTCGATGGTTAGGTTAAGCCAGACCCAACATGCTTTGCTGGCCAGAAAGCCGGTTATTGCCCTGCAAGATTTACGGTATCTCCTCGCTTGATTGACCGGAATATATACAACTCTGTTCTGCAACCAGGGGCGCAGGAGACTGGCAAGAGACTGGCAAGAGTCTCCGGTAGTTTGGGGGCATTATTTCCCCATTGGAGCAGATTAAGCGAGTTGGAGGATTTGCGCAATGCGTCCATGGTGAATGGAAGTAGATGTAAGTCCGAAAGACTCCAATGCGATAGAGGAGTACTGGAGTACTGGAATACTGGAGTACTAGTAAAAGAGAGAGGGTCTGAGTCTGAGTAAGGTTCGGCCTCGCGGGCTCGCCTAACTCTCCCGCTCTGAGAAAGGCGCCATGCAGGTGAAACGGGCCCCGCCCAATCATAGCACCGCTTTACCGAATGCAATATCGCGGAAGGATCTGCCGGCTCCAGGCTTTCGCTTCAATGAGTGCGGAATTGCTGATGAACTGGACACTTGATCGTGGTGCTAAACAACGATCAGGAATCTATCCCCGGCTCTAGTCTTGTTTCTAGTCTTCGCAATGGAGTCGAATGCAAGCCCTTACCTCGCAATGACTTATGGTTGGCTCCTCCGGTTCATCCAGAATACTACGGTGTCACCAGTAGGTTGAACTATATTAATGTGCACATGTACACACTGCACTAGTAGGACTAGATCAGCCTGGGCAAGAGTGACAGCAATGTTTCCATTCGGTCGGGTTTGGAGGAAGCTACTGGTATTCTTCTACTAAACTGAACTTCACTCGACCTGTCAGGTAGAAGGTCCCTTGCGTGCTATGGGTCTCTGCCTGCAACATCGCTTTGCATGTCCATCATTGATCTAGTCTAGTCGGAGACGGACCATCGCTGCAAGTTTGGTTCAGATTCCCTGGGGCGTGAGCTTCATCGATTGCCCCATGTTTGTGACCCTTCGATCTAACAGAATGTGGAATGTGGACTCGCCGGCTTGTGGATGCTGTTAGAGGGGGGAAAAAAAGCCTTCGGTTGACTTCCCTAAATTGGGCAACTCACGACTTTCCAACAATGTTTTTCAAACCATTGACAAACGGAATTACCACTCTCCAGACAAATCCCGCAAAAAACTTATATTTGGCTCACTACATCCGCACTTAGATCCCCATATATCCGAGAGCGCCAACTCCGTGATGATAAGACGTATGCGCACTTGTTGTGCTCGACGAGTCCCAAGCGACTGTAAGCTAAGCCAGCATGAATCAGTCAAAGCAGTGCAGTCACTGCAGCCTGACGCGTCCCCTCGTACTGATTGCATCGCTCATCACCGTGACTTTCGGCCTACGGTGTTAGAGACATAAGCTTACGTCGAATACGAGTCCGGGTAAGGCGTCCGATTTCACCGTTCAATCCGTCCGGATCATCCCAGCGATTTCCGAGCATCTCCCCAGTTTCAAGAGTCACTTGTCATGAGCGACGCCATCTTGTAGTTCAAATAATAGTCATTTGTTTCTTCCAAAATTGGTTTCTAGAGAGATGTCCGAGCTGTTTCGGACAAGTTCGTTCAACAGACCTATCTGATACGATGCTGGCTCTAGACTTCAGAAGTCTCAGTCTCAGCAGCCTGCGCTGCTGCAGTTGGAGTATATAGTTCGGCCAGGTTATACCGTTTCAACTGCTCATAATCGCTTCCTGCGACACCGATACCAATAACATTCTGTGGCATGGAATGTTAACCATGAGGACCTGAAGTGCATTTGTTTTCTCAAGGCTTACCTGGATAACCATGACGTTGATGAGTATATCATAGTTCTTGAGATCAACGGGGTGTTCAGTGCCAACGACATCAGCAACTGTCTTAATTACTGTGTCCCTGCTGAACTTTTTGTTGCTTCTTACGACTGGCCGGATGGCGTACTGGAGATGTCATGGCTTAGTACGTTCTCGTGGGTTTCGGAGCGAGGGCCACTGCAGCAACAACAACAACAACAACAACAACAACAACAACAACGTACCTTCTTCGGAGGACCTCCAGAGTGAAAGGTAGATTTGAGGACCTCGAGCGCGAAAGACTCCAGTTCGACACTGAGAGTCTTGCGAACCGATTTGACAGGAGTCATGCGTTGAATGTACCGAGAGCGCTTCTTTTCGGGATGAGCGTGCGCATCAAGGCACAATTGATGTACCATCTGCTCTGGATCAATGGACTTGTCAAATCGAATGAACGATACTAGCAGAATCAGTAATTGGCGATATGGACGATTTCATATGGAGGTCAAACGCACGACATGGTAAGTCCATTCGAATTGCTTGGAACGGACGAGACTTGGCTTGGCTGGGCTTCAGCCCTTCGACCTCCTTTTTGATCATCGCCTCGATGTCATCTTCATCTGAGTCGGACTTGTCTCCATCGTCGACTTTCTCGGTCCCTTCGATGCTCTGAATGACAGAGCATGTTAGACAGTGTTCACGGCTCTCAGATGGGAGGGATGCCAGCCATAGAGAAGCGGGGAAGACCCCGCTCGACAGGGCCGGGATAACACGTACCTGTGTAAACAAATCCACAGCCTCCGACATACACTTGGTCTCTTTTCCGATGTCGCAACTCACAAAAACACCCCAATCACCACCCTCGATCCCTGCTTTATGGCCTGGCTTGCGCCATTGACCACCACCACCACCCTAAGCTGTGCGTTAGATAGGAGATTACGAAAATCATGAAGTTCATGGGCTGACTTTGGTGGCAATGTGTTCCAAGGGTGCGAACCTTTCTTTTCTTAGACGACTGAGCCGACATGTTATCAGGCATGGACCGTTTTCCCTTTCCAGCCATGCGCAGTTGTCAGACACTGGATTGTCGTCGGTGTTTCACGAAGGATCACTTCCGTCAACGAATCAAGCACCTTTCTAGAGGTGGGATCAGTGCGAGAAGCGAGCCTTGGTCGCCGGAATTACGCGTGATAATGAGATTCTAGATGCATGCATCAACTTCTTGCCTGGAGAAAGCGATAAGCAGGAAAGATCAAGGCGGCGGGGCATCCAAAATTCCATTTTGGGACTAGCGCAGGGAGAGCAAGAGCGAGATCGTCATTCCACTTCCGGCTCGAACCATTTACCATTCACTGGAAGGTGGAGTGATTGACGGCTTGTTCTCGGCCGGACGGGTCACTGCAACCACCTGGCAACGTGCGAGTATGTCCGTCCGTTTGTCGTACTTTACCATCGAACCACTGGACTTTTCCGGTCCGGCATCGTGCCAGGGTCAACTGCATTCCCTATGGCTACAGCTCGCGGTCATGTCTCGGGTAGCCCGGCGTTTAAGCACCTGAGAGTGGATATGGATATGGATAGTACGGTACTCGTAGTCAAAAGGGTGGTAACAACAAGAGTGAATTTCCAGCTAATAGCTATGCCCATTCAGCATGACATCACGCTATCTTCATGACGTACAACCAACCAACTCTCAGGGCCAGAACTCTTCCACTACTATTTATGCTCCCCCTCTTCCGCGTAAACATTCAACCTTCCCTCTCCTACACTGTTCATACCTTTTTCTCGTATCTTCAATTACCTTCCAACTACTGTTCGTCTCGTTAGCTTTCGCGATGACAACTAACGAGATCGTCACCCGAGAGCTCAAGAAGCCTATCACTGTCGCTGAGTATCTCTTCCACCGTCTTCACGAGGTGGGGGTCCGCTCAGTGCACGGTGTTCCCGGTGAGTTGCCTACCACAAGCCTTGCTTCCTGCTCTCCTTCTAATCTCGTCGCACTTCTATAGGTGACTACAATCTCGCAGCTCTAGACTATCTACCAAAGTGCGGTCTCAACTGGGTGGGTAATTGCAATGAGCTCAATGCTGGTATGGTTACTCTCCTGGAACTCGCACCTTCATTTTTTGTGGTGTCAGACTAACAAGGTTGCAGGTTACGCTGCGGATGGTTATGCCCGAGTCAATGGTATAAGTGCCTTGATCACTACCTTTGGAGTTGGCGAGCTGTCAGCCCTCAACGCCATTGCTGGCGCTTACTCTGAGTTCGTGCCTATCGTTCACATCGTGGGTCAGCCCAGCTCTCAATCCCAGAAAGATGGAATGTTGCTCCATCACACTCTCGGCAACGGCGACTTCGACGTCTTCACCAAGATGAACACCGGGGTCTCCTGCTCAATTGCCCGCTTGACCGAGACTCTTGAGGTCGCAACTCTGATTGACAACGCCATTCGCGAATGCTGGATCCGCAGTCGTCCCGTCTACGTCACGCTGCCTACCGATATGATTACGAAGCAGGTTGAAGGCGAGAGACTCAACACGAAGCTGGATCTGTCCCTTCCCGCCAATGAAACCGAGAAGGAAGACTACGTGGTCGACGTTGTTTTGAAATACCTCCATGCCGCAAAGAAGCCCGTCATTCTGGTTGACGCCTGTGCTATTCGCCACCGTGTTCTCGATGAAGTTCACGATCTGATGGAGGCTTCTGGTCTGCCCACGTTCGTGGCACCAATGGGTAAGGGTGCCGTGGACGAGACGCGACCCAACTATGGAGGAGTCTACGCCGGAACAGGTTCGAACGCAGGTGTGCGCGAACAAGTCGAATCCTCGGATCTTATCTTGAGCATCGGTGCCATCAAGTCTGATTTCAACACCAGTGGATTCACGTACCGTATCGGACAGCTCAACACCATCGATTTCCACAGCAACTACGTGCGCGTGCGTTACTCCGAATACCCTAACATCAACATGAAGGGGGTCTTGCGCAAGGTCATCCAGAAGCTGGGT